TATAATAGCCGAATACTTCTCATGCCCTGCTTATTAGTCGCCATGATTTTATAACGAAATAATTATTTCCGTAACATCATGCCCTATTAGTCGCTAGGGTAGAGAACAAAATAATAAACCATTTCCAATAATCAATAACGGATATTAATATTTTATTATTACAAGAGATGAAACCACCCCAGGGAAGCGTTCCGCTTTGGTTTTATCCTCAGCAGCCAAACTTACTTTTTTCCGTCTGGGAGAAAGGTCGTTTATATAATAAATTTTATATCACTGTTCGAATTCATCACTCTAGTATTCAATTTCCCTCCCAGACGTTAATCGCTATTTACACAAAAGCGCCGCAGAATACTCAGTTTCACCAACTCGCAAAATACATGGGAGTGAATTTTTGACCAATCAAACAATTCCGTAGTAAATAACATCGGCTATTTACAATAGTCACATGTAACATCGAATAAAAAAATTAACACGGCCAAGAATTAATTATTTTTCGAATTGAAAAAATAATTTCCATAGTTATAATCCGCACAACCATCCCATAAACACAATGTCAAAAATTGTTACAAATTTCGTAAATCAATACAACCTGACTCCTATCTTCTCCCTCAGCATCATCCAATGGTTTGCTCAAAAGAATGCCCTTTATTTTGCCATGTTCTTTTTAATCAGGAAAAAGAATAGTTATTTTAGCTTTGGTCTGCTCCCACATCATTTTTGCTAAAAGATTAAACACAGAGTGCACAATCCAACACTAATATTAATATAGTGATAGGAACCCAACACAATAAATATCGTTAAAACAATACATTTTTAAAGTAATAAATCTGTCAATTTCCACCAATAAACTCTACAAAAAAAACGCTTACATCTACAAGCAAATTCTTTTTTGGAGCATTAATAGGCTTCCTTCTTGATTTATTGCTAAATTGCATAATTTGTAATAGCCAACTTCATAACACTGGGACACCGATGTTACAGTTAATAACAAAACTGTCAGCGGCAAGCAAAATTTATTCGCCAGATATCACGTTGTGGAAACTGGATCCAAAATTTTTATTTATAGAAATTACTTGGCAAAGGAAAGGCTGTTGTTGCTATTACGATAAAATTTTTTTCTATCTTCGAAGAACAAACCAAGGAAGGCAATTCAATGTTGGACTGACGAAGATAAGAAGAAAAATGTAAAATTAAAAAGTTGATAATAGTGATAATATTATTAATAATGGTAATAATGAGGAAGATAATGAAATTTTAAATTTGCGCAAAGAATATGTTATACTCGTAAATGGCTTTGAGACCGAGTATTTCCTCCTATACAATCAATCACTCTGGTGCTTTATTATTACAAGTGGGCGACATGCTCGGTTTCAACTTCCATGGTCACTATATGGAGTATGTCCTCATACCAAGAATTAAATTTTATAGCTTCCGCCAATAATACCTTTCTCACTTTCTCGTTTCCTTTTTTTAGTGAACATAATAAGTAGTTAACATAAATAATGTGACGTCATACGTACAGACATAGTTAAATTCGATTATCTATATCTATCCCATAAAATTCAAGAACCCCTGGAATTTTTTTTCTCTTCCTAAACCATGACTCTTCTTTACACAAACTGTCCAGACTTGGAGCTCGTTACGCGCGGTAAAGCTCGAGACATTTACCGCGTTGACGAGTCTTCAATTTTGTTAGTTACTACTGACAGACTTAGCGCTTTTGATGTCATAATGAAAAATGTAAGAATATTCTTTTCTTTTCGAACAAATGGGCAGTTGACATATCCATAGCTGATAGTATGTGTCTTGTAGGGTGTCCCTGGAAAGGGCAAGATTTTGACGCAAATCAGTAAATTCTGGTTTGATTACTTGGGAGATGTTATCCCGAACCACCTGATTTGTTCTGATTTCTCACAAATGCCTGAGAAAGTACAAAAATACAAAGATCAGTTAGAGCATAGATCTTTACTCGTTCGCAGCTTGCAAGTGTTTCCGATTGAAGCTATCGTACGTGGATACATTACTGGTTAGTGAGTTTCCGCATTATTCAATCGATCAGTCTACAGAATATGCATTAAAATGTTCGATATCAATTGTATCATTCATTTTCAGGGTCCGCGTGGGCAGAATATAAAAAGAAGAAAACAGTCTGCGGGATACAGCTTCCCGATGGACTTCAGGAGAGCCAGAAGTTCGACGAGCCGCTATATACCCCGAGCACCAAAGCAGAAATTGGGCAACATGGTAAATTAAACCGTCCATATTTTCATCTTGTTTATCCGAAAATGTCAGCTTATCCTTCGTTTGATTTTGTTAGACGAAAATATCCATCCAGATAGAGGTAAAAGTGTATATGTGTATTTTGACATTTTGTTTGTTCGACTTGCAGTTAAAGGATGAATTAAATTTCGTATAGCCAAAGAGATCATTGGTGATAATTACGCGGAAATAGTATCAAACACAGCTGTTGAGTTGTATAGTAAGGTATAGTACCATAACGTCGCGAATTTAAAACGAAAATGATTGGTTTGATTGGCTTATCTCTGATGGAATACTACAGGCAGCGGATTACGCATTGACGAAAGGTATCATTATCGCAGACACAAAGTTCGAGTTTGGAAAGGACAAGGAGGGCAATGTCATTCTCATCGATGAAGTTTTGACACCTGGTACATGTGTATTCTCGTTTCGGAACGTATCATAAGAATCTTGGCTGATCGATACCAACTAATCCCGATCTAATTACCACAGATTCCTCTCGATTTTGGTTTTCTGCAAACTATCAAGTCGGTACTACTCAGGATAGGTAACTATTTAAATATATGTACTCTTCCACTCGTTTATTTAGCCACGTTCCTCTTTATCTGATGGAGCTAACGGCTATTTGCATTCAGTATTGATAAACAGTTTGTTCGTAATTACCTGTTGAGCATAAATTTCGACAAGAAGACTAGCATTGAGCTGCCCGAAGACATAGTACAAAAAACTGCGGAGAAATATATAGAGGCTTATAGATTGCTTACCGGATCTGAACCGACATTTCTATGAACTGACGATTACGACGCAATTTTGAGATTCCTTTTTTTTTTTCCCTTTTTTTTTTTTTTTTAGTTCTAGTAAATAAATATATCATGGAACCCCAGTATTTCTGCATGTCAGATGGCGATCCCTATTTTGACACGTGCATTTAAAAGTTATCCCCAAAAAAGTCTTGCATCTTTTGTTCACATGCATAAAATAAACTCGATTGAGATGAAATTATTTATTAGAACGAAGTTATTCCACGTTAGCTATATATCGTCACAATGCTCTCAAACGAGGTCGCCGTAATTCTTAACGGTAATAATCTAATTTTTAATCAAGACATTTTTGAGGATAAGCTAAAAAAGTGCGCGTTGAAGATAACATGCCGCATTCGCTATTTGAATTAGAAAACAAGCTTGCGACAGCACTAGTTGGTCTCTTCTCTGTTGTCGGGGCGTTGTTCCTTGCGAACAAAACGCTAAGTTTTCTGAACCTTTTACTCGACATTTATGTTAGATCTGGAAAGAGGGTAAGTCATTACAATGGTTTCTGTACGTTGAGCAATAAAGATAAAAGTTAACATGTGTCTATCTGCTGAATACAGTTGGAACAATTTGGTGCTGGAAAAGGAGCATGGGCCGGTAAGAATGTTTTGTCGTTCTCCAGCTAATCGGCAATAGGTAATCATAAGTCAATGTTGTCATCAGTTATCACCGGCGCTTCTGACGGTATTGGAAAGGAATTCGCGTACCAGCTTGCTGCAGCTAAGTTTAACATCCTTCTTATCTCTCGCACTCGTTCTAAGCTCGAAAGCTTGGCAAGCGAGATAGGTCAGTCCATGCGAATCTATTAACTTTTTATGTGATTAATTGCGCGATACTAAATAGACAATTAACTATACTTTATAGAGGGCAAATATGGTGTTCAAACCCAAATATATGCTATGGACTTTACTAAGGGGGATTTACAAGATTACGAAAATCTGAAAGAAGTCATCAACCAGCTTGATATTGGAGTTTTAATAAACAATGTCGCCACTAATCATGAAATTCCTACCCCATTTATTATGGAATCTGAAGAGCTTATTAACAATATTGTCGAAGTGAATATTGCAGGCACTCTTCGCATCACCAAGATGATTGTAAATGTTATGGCAGCCAAGTAGGATCGTTTTACTATTATTAACTAGCCGTACGTCTTTTATATCTCATACGAATCTGAAGAAATATTTGATTTTTCTCTCTTCCCCCTCTGAAGGAATCGCGGCCTCATTTTGAACATCGGCTCCTTTGCAGGCTATGTTCCTTCACCATACTTGTCTGTTTATTCTGGATCAAAAGCTTTTCTGAGCACATGGTCGCAAGCCCTGGGTGCTGAACTCAAACCCAAAGGCATAGTGGTGCAGAATGTCAACACTTATTTTGTTGTAAGTGCAACACTACGTGTCTCGCATCTGTAAATTATTGCAAATCTGATCTTTAGTCCATTTCTAGGTTACCGGCATGTCAAAAATTCGACGATCGAATTTCCTTACACCGTATCCAAAGCCATATGTTCGAGCTGTTTTATCTAAAATTGGAGTCCCTTGTGGGTCAGAGTATCCATACACGTCTGCTTCTTATCCTTCTCACGGATTAGCCAACTGGCTGATTGCCAATGCATTCTCGTGGAGCTGGTGGGAAGCTCGTAATTTAGGTATTGTCTAATTTCTGATTCAAGATTCAGGTTTATCTTCCGATAGCAAATGTCTCACTCTGGTTTTTTCTTCAATATGAAAGAAATCCATATTGATGTAAGGAAACGCGCCCTACGAAAGCGCGAGCGTGAAGCAGCAGCAGCAAAATCTCAGTAGTTTTGATTGGTGACGTATAGTCTACACGTTCATTACGTGTTCTTATTGCGAAGGGCCCAACATAATTTCTAAATTGTAAGGGCGTCATGCTATGTGGGACGTAAATAAGACCAGATATACTATCAAGGCAATAGATATTCAATTCACTTTTTAACTGCGCGTACAATTATCTATAGCAAGGCTACTTACAGTATATCATTACAATTAAATTAATACAAATCAAATCAAAGATATCCGCGTTCTCGCGAGACCTCCGCGAAAGTTCTTAATTGGTTGTGGGGATCGTTGCAACCTCCTAAAAGCTTCATGTATATGAAACGGTTCCAGAGGTGTTTGGTCCAATGGGGGTGCAGAGAACAAATAACATTCTGGCTTTCCACCATCCATCTTATTCATTGCCTTTGCGCGCCCCAGGTTCTTGGTTTTTGGCTTGTTGTCTTTAGAGTCAAGATCCGTTTTCACCCGTAGAGCCGTTTCGGTCAATTTGCTCACCATTTCAAAAGTAAGAAATCCGAGAATATCGACAATATCATCATTGGGTTTCATGTCTATATAAGTAGACATATTGGCCCATTCGCGAAAGCGTTTGGCTTTGCGATATGTGAAGGAGGCCTGACGACACTCTGAATAATGAACGTATTCTTCGCGTGTCATTGCACGTGTAATGTCATCTGCGTCCTATGTGCAAGATGAGTCGAACTGTTAACAAGTAGTCAATAAAATGTGTGTTACAGAAATTAATATACCTTTAGTCTCTGTATGGAGTCGTTGTATGCTTCAACTTCTTCATCACCCTCCTCATCGGAATCAGCATTCAAGTATTCCGAGAAGGAATTAACAAGTTCCCACGATAGCTTTATTTTCATTTTTCTGGCCTTGGCTGATAAACGATTACCATGTCAATATTAGTGGTCATTTCAATGTTCTACGACTGAGCACAAGATTCATCCGCCAACCTGCGCTTGGTTCTTCTAAAATCTCTTCTGCACCATCATTTCCTGCCGTGTCCTTTGCATTCTTGCGTACATCTTTCCAACTCAAATAAGTTCTCAGTCGATTTACTTTAGCGCGATCGTGACGAATTAGAAAAATAAGATCCTCTGAAGTCATGTATCGCGAACCACGTTTCTGGGCCTGGGCTGCTGCTTGAATGATCTATTCAAACATACGTGATGTAGTTAGTTAGATTATAGGGAATTGGGGTGGGAAACAGCGAATATCCGAGAAAACCTACGATTTCTATTACTTGCGCTCGAACGATATCTTCTACAAGCATGATGGTCTCCTGCGAAGGCTCGGCAACTTCACCAAAGACAAACATCATTTGTTGTATTTCTGAAGAGTAGCGGTACTTTGACTTTTCCTTCTCCTACGTTCGTAGCATAGTATGTGAAGCGAATCTTTGTAATGTCGAAAACTCGTTAGTCACCAATTGTATCCTTACCACTGCGGGTTTTTTCTCCGCTATGCTTTTCTGACTCATGATGTAGTCTCTAGTTTATTATATATCTTTATGGAAGGAATCAAACATTGAAATTAATAGCAAAGAATAATAATAATTAATGATCTGCAAATCTGATCAATGGCTTGGCTATTTTGTAAAAATTTCTTTTATAATTGTGTCATCGCTCGAGTTTTTTTCGAGCGCTCTTTTTTCCAACCAAAATGTCAGACTCTAATGATACGCCGCCTATTCAACAGAATGTGGCAGTTGGTTACTGGGGCGCGAATGAGAATCCCAAAGTCAATCACATAATATCTCACATTCGAAACATTGGTTATGAGTTTATAGTTCTTCCTGTTTCGCGTTCGTCCTTTAGTCGAGTCCTTTTTGAATCTACACCAGAGGACGAAGAGACGAAGCAAGTATTCTTGAGAAACATGGAAGAGTGGAGGGCTGGAATTCCGTTTTCAAGAGAAGAATTATGTTTGCAAAGTGCTGGTATTTAAACGAATGTTCATACGCCTATTAAATGTTATTTATGGGGGAAAAAACATATTTTTAAACCATCGCTATCTCCCAATATAGAGTCCCTGGAAGTAGCCGTGGGACTTACATCTCCGTGGATAGATCTGGACTCGACTGATTCGCGAATTCGAACCAATTCAGAAATTGTAGGTACAATATTGTGGTCATAATTCGGATATCAGAATATAATTGTTTACTTATTATTTGCACGTCGCGCATACAAAAACTTGAAGGCATTGAGACAAGAATTCGCCTGGGCTATCTACCTGGGCATTGGAACTGTTATGATTCATCCTCCCAAGTCCGAATTCTGCAACTATGCGCGAACTGTATGGTCGATAATTAACGGAACGGGCCATCCAAGTGTTAGTCTTGGTTTGTTTATTTGTTTTTCATAACTTGCGGTGAGCGCAAGTTATATTGTGTATAATAAGGTATTTACGTTATATAACATTTAGCTAACTTTGTAGGTATGGATGCAGTTGCCATTAACTCTCGATAGTGATGAACCGCGTAAGAAGGAAACAGGCAGTTGGGAACAATGGACCAAGTTTAGAACTCTTTGCAGTCATGATACAAGACTTGGAATAGGTGAGAGGTACTCCAGTACTAAAATGACTTTGTACGGAATATAAATATTAATAGGAATTCATATATATATCAGCCTTGTACATCACCGCTGACTTGCCAAGTGAGAAGGTTCTTGAGAGATGGATTGCAGAACCAGTCAGAGCAGTTATAATTCCTACCGATATATTCTTGATCAATGCCAAAGGATATCCAGTGTTGAGTAAGAAACATCAGAGTCTTGTTCGCTCCTTTTTGAAGGTAGAAAGTTTTTGAATATTGGACAGTTGAGTACGCTACCATTAAATTGTCAACAAGCTCATCAATAGTGATTTTTAGTTGGGAGTAAATTTCGTGATACGCGACAGCAAAACTGATCGAGAAGAGAACGACAGCACCGTGGATATATATATGCAATATATACGATATATGAATCGAAGCGGTCCAGAATTAAACGAAAGGGAAAAATTCGCTACTGGATATCAGGATTACCTTCAATCTCCATTACAAGTCAGTACTATCCGAAAATATCACGTGTTTCGTCATTAATTTTCCAACATTAACATTGTTATACTCGCCTAGCCGCTCATGGACAACCTTGAATATTCGATTTATGAAACATTTGAAAAAGACCGTGTAAAATACATACTATATGAACAGGTATACTATATATCATAATGCTGCTTTAGGTAGTAATAGTAAGCAATGTATTAACGTTTTAAGTTGCTTACGAGTATAGGCTGTACATCGTGCACTACTTGACCGTGTACCTTCAGACTCTGACGAAATCACGTATGTTTATCCCATTATGTGCCGTCCATACTTGCGCACAAGAAGAGTAGTTAACACGATCATTAACCATTTTATTCAGAGTGATTGTAGTAGCTGGTGCTGGTCGAGGTCCACTGGTGACTCGAAGTCTTAAAGCTGCCGAAAAAGCAAACAGAAAAGTTCGCGTATATGCAGTTGAGAAGAACCCTAATGCGTTTGTAACGTGCGTAATTGATAATTAATATGTATGAGAGACAGATGACGGTTTGCGTATTGATAAAAGTTTGGTCAATACAATAAGTTTGCAGAATATGAAGGCACAAGTATGGGACGATAATGTGACAATAGCTTTCTCAGACATACGACGTTGGAATGCTCCTGAAAAGGTAATAAGTCTCGTATTAATCTGTAACTTTTAAGAAACTGAGCAAATACGCGAGATGCTTATTTTTACGTTTATTATTTCAATTGAGGCTGATATTCTTGTAAGCGAACTTTTGGGCTCATTTGGTGATAATGAATTATCTCCAGAATGCTTAGATGGTGCACAGAAATTTCTAAAGCGTAAGCTACTACATGAGATTTAAAATTGGTTCTACACATGAGATATTCGATGTCGAATAACTAATTTATTTTTCTATTGCAGCCGATGGAATTTCAATACCTAGCTCGTATACTGCATTTATCGCACCTTTGTCCTCTGCAAAATTATTCGCGGAAGCCGCCATGCACAGAGATTGGGAAATGCCATATGTCGTCATGTTTCATGCATGTACTCAACTTGCTTCACCAAAGTCAGTTTGGACTTTTGAACATCCTAACCGATTATTGACTGTCGACGAGCAAGGTCAGTTAATCAAGTGGCAAGAGAATAAACGTTGTTCTTCCTGTGATGATAATAGGTTCTCGGTGTTTTATAGGTAATCCGATAACAAATTATCATAATGTGCGATATTCAAAGGTTACCTTTGATTTGGCAGAAAATGGCATATTACATGGGTTCGCCGGCTATTTTGACTGTGTGTTATATAAAGATATTAAAATGAGTATACATCCTGAGAGGCATTCTACGGGAATGTTCAGTTGGTTTCCAATATTTTTCCCACTGAAGGTAAGTTATAATCAATTAGAAGACTTAATGTATAGACGACTTTAATTTGACAATTGCTGTTTTCTTTGACAAAGGAACCAATACATTTACCGCGGGAAACGTGTATTGAAGCACATTTCTGGCGCCTCACGAGTCAGTCGAAAGTTTGGTACGAATGGGCTGTTGATTGCAGTATTTCAACGATACATGAAAACGTTCCGGTTAATGTATCAGTCATACATAACCCAAATGGAAGATCTTATTGGATTGGATGTTGAGATGTAGAAAGACTGTTAATAAAGACGATCGAGCTCACCTGCGGTTAATTGCTGGTTGAATATGGAAATATGTGAACATTATAATTACCCCGATGATTTGGCTATCAAACCATTTTTTGGCAAGTGTGAAAGTTTTCTTATAATTCGAATGTCAACCCCGAGAAATAACGGCATAGAGAGAGTGACTGTTCGGTCTCACAATCTAACGCTAATACTGCACACCAAAGGGGGTGCGACGGAAAAATTTAGATTCCCAGTAATAGATGTAAAGGGTGCAAGCCACTTTAATGACATAACGCCATAGCGTAAATCATCAAGCGTCACCATATTTGTAATTAATTGGAGCGAATGATTTATCCACCAAGGGGTTGAACGGGCCTTTGTTTGGCCTTTAGAATGTTGTCATAATTAAACAACCATCCATTATAACATAACGTAGTTCGAATATGCGATAGCATTGATTTTTTTGTAAACACGGTTTTATTTCAGCGAGTAATACTTCAAAAATAAAAAGCACCAGAATACAGAGTTGAGGCAAATCTATCAGAGATAAGAAAATTCTTCGAAAGAACGCGTCAAATTAATTGCCAACTTAGGATCGGTTATGATACGAGCATGTAAGCAAATCGCGTTTAAAGCTAAGTTTTGAGAACATTACCTGGATGCTATGCCACAAGTGAAAGCTCGGAATGTACATTGCTTCTCTGTCCTACGCGTCTTAATCTATGTCGAATATTCCAATATAACAAGGACCATGCCGAATTATCTAACAATCTATTGGGTAACAATAACTTAAATATTGTATTGCTTTTTTTCGTGTTATATGTGTAAACAGAGACAAGTTTATGTTTTGAACGATTAAGCTACAATGGAATTGAAAGATGTTAACTAGTATTGTATGTCACAACAAACGTGTACGTCGTCTTTTCCGTTATATTGTTCAATATCCCCTGAATTAGCTTTTTTGTTTACATACATGTATCCATAAATGTCGATAACCGGAATGCTGTCGTCAATGGACAAGTTTTTGGCTACCAAATTAGCAATTGCTATGATTGTGGCGCAATGACTGTGACCCAAAAATCACCTGGCCGTCAATCGTAAGTAAACAATTAATAAATATCTTAAATATCTGGACACTTGTAACGTTTACTTAAGATCTTAAAGTCAGCCCCACTCGAATATCAGCCACGCCAAACAACTGAAGACTACGTTTGGTCGTACAGCACAAACTCCTGCATACTATTTCGCCGCCGAATATTCCTGCATTTCATTTTAGCAGTGACACAAGTGGATAACAAGTGTTCTTTATTTGGTTGTACGTATAAACGTTGGCGAGCGTGGTATTGAAACTATCTATTAATGGTAACAAATATGTATCCCCGTCATTAGAACTTATCCATTGTAGTGATTGACTATGGCTTAGACCTCTTGGCATTAAAGGAAACTGTTTATCTAAATGTGAAACCAATCGAATGTTATACATATATTTATACGAGCTAAGAATGAGGGGCGAACGAATCGAAGGCAATAGCAATCATGACTGCTGCTACCGCTGTACCGACTTCTGGCGAACTACAAAACATTGAGCTTGCTCTCGGCCGCTTATGGCAACTAGATACTAATAGATTGACGGCTGGAGAACATGTGAGTATCTTGACAGTATTGACATGATTGAAAGATTTACTGAGCCTAATGAGTTTCTTCCTAAAAGTACAAAATCAATGTCGGCACCTGTAAGTTTTCTCTCAGTATGACTTGCGTTTTAGTTGCTACATTATTTGACCTAATCTCATTATACCTATCAGCACGCGAGTCTCGGAGACTGTTCAAATATGTTGACGAAAGCGTCTTTAATCTTCCTACGTATAAGACTTTCAAGAATCTTCTTGATAATTATATTCCGCAAGTAGGGATTCCCGAAAAGGTCGACGCTAACGAGTTGCGTGAGAATGCTGCATTCATTAAGGAGGTCATGAATACTGTTCCTATGATTTATGTCCACAAGGTAATTGATGTTTGAAGGTTTTATTTATCAAACTGCTGCCAAAAAGGTTTTGAAAGGACGAATGAGATGTATTAAACGAAATGGATTTGACCAATGGGTTTTTGTGATACCAAACAATAACCCTCGCCAGTGATAGATTCAAACCAAAATTTCCTTAAACTTTGTTACACAATTTTGGGAGACTAAACTCTTATCTGTGTTCCCTAGTATCTTGTTCAGAAAGGCAAAGTTCCGACAGATCGGAGAGCGTTTGCGCGTTTGCTGGACGATGTGTGGTTTGAAATGTACAGAAGAGCCGGCGCAGGTGGTGATTCGAGTGCTTTCGAGCATGTATTTTTGGGAGAGATTGACCATAACCAGGCTAAAGGTAAACCGCGCTGCTTGCATTCTAACAATTTTGCTCCATTCTTGATCCTAACATGCGACCATCTCGATTTAGCTTTCCATAATTGGATTAATTTCTACGTTTGTGAACAGAATGGAACGATGAAATACGAAGGCATTGTGCCTGAAAGGGGGAGTCGTCGCTCTGAACAGGTGGGAATTTGCTGGATCGCCAGCAGAACTCTTTGATTGTGTTAAAAACCACCTTTTATTGATGATTGATATTATGTGCCTTCGTAGTCCTCTGGAGACGAACACGTGATAAAAATGAGATTCGCATTCAAGGGTGCTCCTAAACCGTTTTCCACATCCTTTATCGGTACATCTCCTGAATTTGAATTTGCCTTGTACACACTTCTTTTCTATCTTGGAAGAGAAGACACCGAATTCACCGTTGAGGATATTAGAGTTAATATAAAAGTGTACGATATCTTCAGAAACGGCGAAAGGAAGATCGGTAGTGCGTTCCCAGCGATAATTGGTACCAATAAATCAAATAATTTTTGATAAAGGATATTTATTCACATGGACACTTTTGCTAATGATACTTTTGCATAGTAAGATCAACCGTTATTATAGCTGCTCATACCAATACTAAAATTAGTCATCGCACACACGTCAATTACTTACAGTTATTATGATATCTTTGCGTTGGAAAAATCCATCTCAGGATGTGCCGCTTTGAACTTTTCTAAGATCGCTTGCTTCTGTAATTCATCGGATGTCTGTTTACCCATCGCTTTTTGTCGCTGATCAAACTGAACGTATTCATAGCAAGGAGGGGTGTTTTCAAATGGATTACGCTCAAGGTTGTGCACGACCAATATTCATCACTATACTCGTTTTCAATTCTATTATATACATACCATCATTTTCTCAACCATTGCCCGCGTCTCACCGTCCAAATCGGACAAGCTTGAATTCTCCGGTTGGATCCTTGTCGTATCGATTGCCGGATCAGTAGCGATTACATTCTTCCACCATTCCATTTTATTCACTTTCTCAAGATGAATTGCTATTTCTTTCCTATCCTCTGTAGGCATTTAGGTTGAAAATAAACGAGTGCATCGCAGGAAAGCGGGCAACACAAATTTGATCTTAATGATGCTTACCAATAGTCCATGTACATTCTTCGGTTTTAACATTTTTGCATAATTCACCCTAGAGCAAATAAAATAAATAAATATCAAACAAAAATCTATAGGGTTTATCTATGAAAAACATACCTTTATGATTGGCTCTTTACCCTTTAACCCGATGGTTAAATGATTTTTCTTGATGATAACCTCAACGTCTTTGCCACGTGTGCCATTTGGAACGGGAACTGTCATGTCCACGTCTTGTAACGTTTGTTTCCACTTATACGGTAGGGCTTGCAAAGTATAGCCGACCCAATTAGCAAATACATACACAATAGCAAGAATAGATAGATAATTCGTTCAATTAGACAACGCATTGACAATTCATCAACTGATTTACTCAAACAAAGAACAATAATGACTAGCACGACATACCCGCTTGTTCTGCTTCCTCCTTCTCTCTCTGCTCCTTATCATGGTTATCCTTCTCTTCTTGTGTCATATCATCATAAGACTTGGTCACCGAGGCTTCGGACATTTTCTAGTTTCGATCTCTGATGGAATTTTTCTTCTATTTAGTTTTGGGGGCGGAAGTTTTATTAACCGGCGCAGTATTATTTGACATCACGATTCGAACAATAATTATTATTCAAGGTAATAATAAATACTAATTAATAATTGGAACAATCTCAGCAGATACAATCATTCCATCGATTCGGAGTCGACGAACGAGGAATTCTCGTGTTATACAAAACCACAAAGAAGTCGCTTGAAATAACCAACCAGCGACCGGCGGAGTTGGTGGACAATTAGTAACTAATTTACGGTCAACCATATGATTCGCTTCATCATATTCAACCATTTTTTGGGCCTACAATTTTAAAAAATTCGTTCTTAAACTTGTCCTTTCTCCTTCCCTTCCTTTATGCACCCTCTCTTCCGTACATAAGAAGAGAAGAGTAAGATAAAAAAAATAAGAGAAAACTCATAAATTGCATGGTTGGATAGCGAGCGTAGACGTTTGTCCATAAAACATAAAAAAGGCCGTTAATTATATTAGACTATAAAATACAAACAAAAATAGCCATATATTAAACCTTACTTATTCCTTGGGCATAGAAATCAAAACTCGGCGTTTCAAGTATTCGCACACCTTTAGCCCTTCCATCTACAACAACACTATAACAAAATGATGGCCAGACAGAAAGGACAATCTATGTCAGAGCTAAAACTCCGACGATTATTGGAGTTCAACCAGAGACTGCGTGAAGATTTGGATAGACCCCGTGTGAGAGTAAGCGAGGCTAGTCAAAAGTAAGTGTTTAATAGGGTGCGAATAGTTGACCGAAGAAGAGACTAGTTGATATAGAGCATGCGTTCCGTTGGTTATGCGAATATTGTGCATGCAAGTGTATGCATACTGCGAAATAAGCTATAGTTAATTAAAGAAGGTCATATAACAGTACTCCTAACTCCGATCATTGAATGATAGTCTTCTATTTGATTAACCATGCGAGTTCGTCCAGTACATTCTTCAGTGCCGCGTCTCTCTCTTCTTCCAATAACTGACCCGAATTCCATTTTATCTATTTTAATAGCCTAATAAGATACTGTAAAAGCACAAGGGATTACCTCGTACCATCGGTCTGGGGACCAGTTGACAAGCGAGACGATCCATATGCACCGTCTGGTGGCAAATGCACTTGCAGCATCATGTAAAATTTACTATACAAATGTATTAAATATTAACGTGGGGGGATAACTTTGGTAGTAGTAGTAGTAGAATAATTTGTAAGCAAACTGATATCAATTGATAATGATAAAAGAAATCGGATGTTTTTATTACATTATTCATTTACTTATTGACTTCATACAGATAATATCCTTGAATTCACATCCGACAGGAAGGTGGCTGTTTTATAAAGACGTTTGTAACGTTTTTACCTTCGGAGTGATAGGGGAACGATGTTTTATATATCACACATTAAAATTTATTTGTTTAGTCTTAATGACTTCTTTGTGAAGTTTCAACTTTTGGTTACAAGAATTTAAGATCATTTAATAAACTTAAAGCTAGGTAGCTTTGTCTGCGTCATAACGTTGAATTTGCAAAAAATTGGGAACACGAAAAGACGGTTTGAGCTCGTCTTTCAACTTCTGCATGCAGTGGATAATAGATTTAGAGACGCATATCAATGTTCTCAAAATTTGTGACGTTTATCAATTTCAGCCAATGATATCCGAGTTTGAACTCAAATTATTTTGGAAAAAAAGCCTAAACCGTCTCTCTTTACTTTCTATATCTACTGCTACAAATATGTTGAAGTCAGCCGTCAGACTCGTATTAACGCAAAGCCAGCGAACGTGTAAGCCGAAAGTAATGAGCCAAATATTACTTCCAACTCTTAGGAACAGACAGTTGTGGCCTCTTACTCCTATGGTACGTGAGAATTTTACGTGTAATGACAGGATTCGATCTCATCGAACGATTATTATCTCGCGTATTCAACATCGATTAAAAAATTTTTTTTCATCTTTGCTTCGGTACATCCATTAATTAACTGTAGTCACAGCGATTTAAATCGACAAATTTCGACAGGCAGCGTCCCGGAGACTGGGTTTGCCCAAATTGCAATGCCAACAACTTTGCCTTCAGAACTGAATGCTTTCAGTGTGGTGAAAAAACATCTGAAGTCGTGGAACGCAGACAGAGACCGGGAGATTGGTCATGTCCTGGGTGTAAATTTTTTAACTTTTCTGATCGACAGGAATGTTACAAGTGTGGGCAACCGAAAGGTGATGCTGCTGTGGTAGAGGATGGGGACAGTATGAACAGAGGTAACGATGATGGAATGGATCGAGGTAATGATGGAATGGATCGAGGTAGTGAAAGAATGGATCGAGGTAGTGAAAGAATGGATCGAGATAGTGATAGAATGGATCGAGGTAATGATAGAATGGATCGAGGTAATGATAGAATGGATCGAGGTGGTTATAGGATGAATCGGGGTGGAGACAGAATGGATCGGGGTGGCGGTAGGACGGATCGAAGAGGAGGCAATAGGGCGGGTCGAGGTGGAAGCAGGATGGATCGAGGTGATAGAATGGATCGAGGTGGCGATAGAGGTCGAAGTTCAGAGAGGCGTTTTTAGAGTATATCCTCTGAAATATTTAGAGGATGATGGACTTGCGCGCGCGTAATTCTTGTCAATATTCTGTCGAATTTCAGATATAAATCAATTAAAATTTTATATCAAACTTTATTTCATTTAATAAAATAAACGATACACAAGATTCGTTAATTTTCTTTTCTATTGGTTATGCTAGTGCCAATTACGTTTAATTAATCCTGTCCAATCCATCGGGGTCGTGCCTTTAGTCAATGAGTCTCTTTTGTTTGAAGAATTTCTTCAAATACATAATCTGCCATCCACCTAACGACAACAGAACGAGCACCGTCCCTAGACTGAACCATTTGACCCTCTCGTTTGTCGACTCTGAATCACCGAATAATAAAAAGACATTAAGCAAATCACTTGGATGGCAAACATCTCAAACATCATTCTAACATCGCTTTCCACTTACCATTTGTATCTCTCATTCTCGCTTCTCGTTTTCTCAGATAGTCCATTTCGTCAACAATCTCTGCAACGACTTGTTCGAGTTTCTTTAGTTCAGCTTCGAGCGGAGCTAATTTCTCTTCTTTGGCTAGCTGTTCTTGGTCGATTGTTTCGGCACCAACGTCTACATCGAGATCGATTGAGCGAAAGAATTTGGGGTCTGCGTTGAATCCTGTGATCGTTCGAAAAAAGTTAGCCATCATTGTTTAATCGAGAGAGAATGACTGAAAAAAAGCCGGAACGTATCCAAGTTCTGTATACGAGCACCAACAAAAGTAAAGCATTCTACGATTAGAGCTTACCATCGGCCAAGATATTCTCAAAGCAGATAGCTATATCTGCCTCAGCGTGAGTAGTAAGTGCCATCTTCACATTGTCATTAAGATCGCGTTTTTTTCCGTATTCGTTATGTGATTCGCTGTTATCGCTAATCTATAATGGAAGCAGCAAGCGATCAAATCGCTCATCAACACTTTGATATTTGATTGTAGTGCTTTACAATTGACACTAAATCGACAATAACAACGATAGGTTCGTTCACATCTACATCTTAGACCCGACTTGACACAACCCAACATGTCAGATTCTTCGTACCTCGACATTTATTTTCTGGTTGTATCCGATACCAACTTTTATTTGGGCTATGACAAATGTATTGGCGGGTATATATTGCGTAATACACTTTGGAGTCACACTTGAAGCATGTTGAGCGACCAGGTCGAATTTTATTCCCTCTGCTGTCAATGCACAAAGTATTGTTACCAAAAGTAGGAATATAGAATGTCGAGTCATAATTAACGGAATGGGAGTAGATAGAAGGAAAAGTTGTATTATTACGCATAACTGCCAATTGGCTTTCAAGACGTGCCAAGTGTGCGGGGGTCGATTTGATTGGTGGATTTCGATCCTTGCTGCACATTTTAATCGGGTGACGAAGGTGCTACTATTATCGTACTCATTTCTAATTGTTTTTGAGTTGGATCGAATTTCCGTCAAATAGCCAGTATAAGTAAGGCGAATTCTGTTTTGCAAAATAAAATTCCGATAGAATATTCGATTCTATAGGTCATTCGTTATATTTACTCTCTTCGGTATTCACATTCTCAGATGGCAACATCATAAATCTATAATAACGTTGTTACATTTTTCTAACTCTCAGTAAAATATTAGAGCATTTATTTATTCTATCATTATATTCATTAACAACATTTTTATACGAATCGTATATACACTAACAAATTCTATGGTACCGACTTCGCTATAACCAGATTGACTGTATATTGAATTGGGATGTAAAGTGTGAAGAGGTGATAATTAGTTTGGTTTTGAATGCAAAAATAAGTAAAGTAGATATTAAATTATATAGATCAGGTTGGGCACACACGGCCCGGTAACATCACTCGTATGATAGTATAATAGTGAAGCCAATATTTTTTGAGGTCGACCAGCGCGAAGCATAGTACAGTATGCCTTCTATCGGACGACAAGATTAACCACTATCGTTCGTGTTCGTAAATTCATCATATCTATATTAAGTAATACTATCTTCAACAACAATACACTCTTACCTACTCTATATCATAAAACGTTTCTTGCAATTTCCATTGATTTCTAATTCTCTCGGTTTTAATTTATGTGAAGTATTCGATCTAAGTAAATATCATCGGCAGCAGAAACGATCACTAATGGCTTCGCTATGCAAACAATTTTCGTATCATGAGGATTTGGTTTGTCGTAATATCAGATCATTGCACAAGAATTTTTATGACACTCCCTACTGTGATTTTCATATGCTGGTTCGATGCCATTTTATAATAATTCCAGCCCGCACATCTCTACCAATTTTAGTACAAAACGCGTCGTGTAAACAGTAAACCAAAACTATGTTTATGTTTATGTTTATGTTTATTGCATATACGCACATCCTGTTAAATAACGCGCGGAACGGGAACGCGAAAGAGCAAAGTGAACATATGTGGCTAGAATGTGGAACGATGTGGCGAAGGATGACATAGGTCATGGACGGACGTTAAAATAAAGTCGTACAAGCTAGGGTGCTTAGTAGTATTAGGAACAAAACAGAAAACTCAACAAACTCAGTTCATGATAACATTGTTACTGGGTACAAACTAATTCCCTTCACTATTACAAGTAGCTAATACTGCTAAACCAGCCACTTTCGCTTCCGCCTTTCAAAAAGTCAAACCCTAAATTTAATCTTTCTCACTACCTCTACGTAACAGGCAGAAATTGAAGGTCTGTCACAGAACTTTGTCGAGTTGGAAGCTTGCATGTCATATTGGAGTTGGAAGGACAGTACACGACAAATCAAGTCTGCTTTCCGAAATGTTAGAAAGGAATTCGTTGAACCTTGGGTGACACCATTTCTTCCACAGCTCAAAAGGTTCATCAATAATGGGGATGGGGGATGAAGAACGCGTTTGTAGCTATTGGAAACCATCAACTGAATAAGAGAAAAGCTACCCTGAGGCTACAGGTATGTGTGTAGCTTGTTTCGAGGAAATGTGTAGGTATAATATGTTTATCCAAAGCTCCTTATTGCCAATGCCACATTCTATCCAGTAAATTGATGAAAATTCGTTATCAATTAGTTATTGAAATAATGTGATTGTTGATAAAATGCGCTTTAAATTGATTCTTACGATTTGATGCAATGGTTGCCAAAATTGCCTCTGTTTTGCATCACGTATAATTTTTGAACCTTTGAAGCAAATCCTTTCTATCACCAAGCGAGTTCCAGGAATCAACAAAAATTGTTATGTATGATTTGATGCTCTGCGCGTAATTGCGAAAGCGGTGAGACGTAGGTCAAGTCAATTGTATGGTTGTTAATTGGAATCCTTCCGATGGTAAATCCGGGTCAGCATTCGGTTACTGATTATGAAGGAGCAAATGTCGTGCCTGAAATTTGACGCCTTGCAACAGCTTTTTCAACTACATGCGCAAAGCATTCTATCCTAGGCGTACAACATAAACCGACTGTGTTCTTTATTACTTGCTAATGAGAAGATCAAAAGAATTACATCCCTCAAAAAAGTTGAGACAGCTTCCCAAGAACTTCCCGACAACGCATCTTGCAATATAGCCACGATTGATACAATGTTAATAATCAGCGCGCCATCGCATATGGGCGTTCAGTCAAATTATTAATTAACATTATTATCTGGAAGCTAATAAAATACGATATATTGTCCATATAGATGTAGTCTAACGAGTTTACAGTTTCTTGAGTTCACCGTCGATGTTATCGATAAATGACTTGAGCTTCTTCCATTGATCTATTGTTAAAGAGATGCCTAGTATTGGGGTCGATAAAGAAATAATCAATAAATTGTACGAAAGATGACAATTGGATGAAAATAGTCGCTTCAATCAACGAGTATGAATGCATCGGTAAACGAACAGAAACTTCTAACAAAATTGATTTACAGTTTAATCTCTCACGCTCCATACCTGAACTTACCTTTTTTTGTGGGTTTCGAACCATCATAAAATTCTCTAATATCAACCATTTTTATAGCATTCCATTTGCGAACGGTAACTCGTTTTTTTTCTGAAAGCTAGCGATGAGTAGGCGGATAAGTCAATTGCGGGGGAGGAAAGATAGACACGAATTGATGTTTAATCTTCAATTGTTCTTTTGATTTGTCAAATGGACAACCTCCAGTTTTACGTATTACGCAATCACACATACTTTGAAGAAAATTTCCCCGTCGGATGTTTCACCTTCATCTTCGTCTTCGTCGTCGACTGCCCGTTTCTTCGTCTTCGACCCAGTACTTTTACTCAACCTTTTCTTTTTCTACATAACAAAGCTGTCGTAATCAACCTTTCAAGAAAACCACTTGATAATGTTAATTTTTTCTGTATCCTTACCAAAGATGACTCCTCAGGATCTACTTCATCCGCTTGCTGCTATACATAAACATTAACAAAACGGTTACGATTATACGAATATTGCTATCTTCAGTTGCATATATACCAAGAAGAAACTCTTTTAACCTGTTCCTCTTCGTCTACATCGCTGTCTGCAATATATTTCCGACTAAGTTTTCTTTTGGACATTGATAGAAGTATAAGCTAATTACGCATAGATGAGAATTTTGGGCGCGTGCTTTATTTGTTGTTGAACGGAAGATTTCAGGGTTCATTTTTCACTCCCCAGCATTAACATTAATTTCACGTGAACGTAATATTCATTAATAAAATTTAAATTTGGGTTTTCGCTTCGCGTTATTTCAAGCAGCATAGTAATAGATAATATAAATCCGAATATTCTCAAACGAAGCATGCTGTAACAAAACCGTGAACGTTTGACGTCAGGTGCAGTTTAGGATGACGTTCTAATTTTTCTCCTCAGCAGCCGGGTAGCTATGCTAGAAACGGGGAAGTAGGATAAATCTTGAAAAGAAACTCATATTACTTGATTTAATATAGCAAACCTAATATAATTTTATTAATCAGCATGACATGTAACTAAGCAATTTCGATCTTTATACTTTATTGAAACTGCTAAAGCTGTTTTTGGACAGTGGTACATGAGTAGTAAAGTCAATAACTAAGCAATTGCCTTCCACTGAGTAATCCAATAAATACATCACAAATATTCACAAATACAAAAAGAAATTATGATATTTCAACACCCCCATCCTAGTGCCTAGAACTGACAAGCTTTCTTCTATGTATCAAAGTGAAGATGTCCATATTAATATCTGAAAATTTATACTAGTATGACAGTGAGAAGATTCTAAAAGATTGCCCAAAACTATTGACGCCAGTTACCTTTTTCACAATGTGTTGGACTAATTTGTTTTAGCCACCGTTCAATAAATTTTAATTCGCAATGAACGCCATCTTTGAGCCAAAAAGACATAATCTTTCTTCCGCAACAATCTACACGTAAAGGATCTTTGTTCCCATCTCGACATAGTCTGCATTCACCTACCATATTTTTTGTCCACAGTCCTCTTTCACTCAAAATCTGTTTTCATTATTTGGACCCCAAAAAGTATCCCGCATTTTTGGTGCATTTCCGCCAGGTCCAATATACATCAGGTGCAAGTGATTTGAACTATTATCAAAGGCAAATACTGAAATGCAATTTGGAATAAAGCCTCAAATTCCGAACATCTGCTACCAAAGGTAAAACAATGCTCATTAGACTGATTTGCATATATAAATAATTGTATTTCGTTCGCATATCGATATGTATTTATTTTGCTATCAATAACCGCTTCGCTTCATTTGTTTTAATTCCATTGGCAAATTCACGATTTAATTCATCTCATAGTTCTATGTTTGTGCGAGTTGCACGAATGCTGGATCTAGGAAACCTCCATTAAAAAATGACATCTAAGCATTTATCAAACGACTTAGTTGACGAATTTCGTCGTTGAACATGTATCATGGGCACAAGAATTTCTTATATTAATATTTCTTTTTCACTGTTAATTTTATCACTATTTCAGAAACTAAATGGTTAGAATAACATTGAGACGAGTCAGATCAGAGTATACTGAATACCTCAATATTGATTTTATTGACATATCATACAAATGGTCAGGCATACTGACTGATAATGAGAATAACAAGCACGCATTTTCATATGTGTTGGATGCAGTCCATGGAAAAACTGGCAGCTGGTATGTCTTAAAAAAAGAAATATATTTATTCAACGACGTTGCATGTAAATTATAGTGGATGCTATCTCGTCATACTCTACTGCAACATATCAACATCCTCCAGAACCAAATTATCCAAATCAAATTCCTTCCCCCACTGCTGCACCAAGGTCACCTCTCCCCCAGAAGATGATTGTGTAGGTGGGGTGGTATAAAATGATATTTGTCCAGTGTTCCAATCCTGTAGGACTGAACGAGCAGCAGAGACTATATCGGGAATGCCACCACGCTTTAGACGCCCACGTTGACGAGCGACTTGAATAAGAAAATCGTTGGCGTCTCGAAATGGTGGAATGTTGTATCTTTTTACTAGTAGTTGCTGTGGGCAGCGAGAGACTATTAATTCGACTAGAAATGGAAACAAATAGTTGAGTACCAATATCCATGTAACAATATTTTGTAGCCCACGCCTTCATCTTAACCTACCTGGTGCTACAGGGTCTTCTAACAACTCAGCTTTAATACAATTCCTTAATGACATTTCGGCATCATTCTCTCCCCACAAAATACCCGGACAATCTAATAATTTAACCTTAGAATCCAACTGTACTTCCTGAGAGGTTTTTGTCGACCCTGGCGTCGCCCCGACTGCGCAAACTTTCGCTCTTTTCAGCGAATTTATCAAAGATGACTTCCCTACGTTTGGATATCCGATAACACCAACAGTGATCGAAGTTTTAATATTGAGATTGCGAGAGTAGTTTTTGAGAAGTTTAAGAAGAGTAGAAGCTCCAAAGCATTCGGACGTATGAAGGCTGGATTCGGATGCAAGACTTATTGGAGTGGAGGAGTGGCCAAGATGGGTGCGTTGTGATTGAGTTGAAGATTTGAATGCGATCGCTGGGTATTCATTGCGCAGATATGTTAACCATTTTGAGACTATTTCTTTCGGAACCAGGTCTACTTTGTTCAATATTAGAATGAGGCGTTTGTTTACTCCACTGTCAATTACCATTCTCTCGAGCTCCGTCGATCTACATCCCAATGGATCTCGCGCGTCAAGGACTTCTAGTATAACGTCCGCATTTTTTATTACTTTTTTAAATTCACCGTAGAATGCTTTGCGAGAATTGTCTTTTAATCCAGCAGCAGCAGGGTCGATTGCAGTGACCGAGTCATTAGCATCTGAAGGCCTATCATTGTCGAAGAGTTTAGTACGCGTGGTGGCATCTTCTACAAGATCGGTGAGGTTGAGGTTGCGCTTTTTATTATGTAATGCAACGCGGGCTTGACGCTGTCGGGCCTTTTCTTCTTCTAGCTGAGTATAGAGTACAGGTATGTGAGCAGCCGACGAAATTTTATAGCTGTTATTGTCTCTTCCTACCACTAACCTTCCGAATACAGCCATCAATAATGTTGCTCTTTTATGTACATACCTTTCGTTTCTGTTCTTCTAGTTGATGAAGAATTTTATCTTTATACGGATACAAATTTGGTATTCCCGGATCTTTCTTTAAACCTAATTTACCAACCGCGTGAACACAATTCGCGGAGAACGTAGGAAGGTCAATTTATACTATCTCCTATGTACATACGTCTTTCCTCATAATGCTAGGAAATAAATAGCAAACTCTTACTTTTCCGACTTGGATTCTTTTTAGCTTCCCTCCTCTCCTTTCTTTTATGCTCGGCTACGTTCTTCAGTATCTTGTATCGTTTGGCAGCTGATAATCGCTTACTCTGTGTCTCTACAAATGATAAGACCAGTGTAAATTTCTTTTTACTTAGTTTTCTTGGCTCGTAGTCTCATCAATGTTTTAATTACTTACTCTTTCGAACCATTTTTCTGCTTTATCGTACAAGTAGTTGTAGAGTATGCATTAAAAATTTTAAAATTTTTTGGTTACAACGTGACCTTTGATCATCCAATCAGATGAAATAGCGAAATTCAGTGTGATAAACAAGTAAAACATTTATTTATATTTAGCATTGAATTTTGAAAATAAAAATTTTTTTGAAAAATTTATTATTATGTGCCTCCATCTTTGAGTCCTTGTTTTTCAAATAATGCCCATGAACTAAATTGTCAACTTGTCAGACAGGTTGTCATATTGTTGCTCGACCTTTGAAGAATTAACTAATTTACATAATCTCTTCTGAACCTAAAAATTGCAGCACAATCAGGAACATTTTAAGGTAAAAAATTGCCCGTTGTGTACAGTCGGATCAATGTATGAAGGAGAGCGTACATTGAGATCTAGCTGTTTCCAACGCTACCTCTACTTTCGCTAAACGTATAAGCGACAATTAGGGACCTTTACTTGGTTTTTCGAAATACACGTACTCGCAAGGCGCGATCGGTCTTGTATATACGCCGTTCCTAGATTACTATTTGACCTCGAGTTCGTACGTCTGCTTCTTTTAATTGGGATTAATTTCGAAAGCCTGCAGGTCGGGTAAATTTTTCCAAACTAAATACTAAACTCGTTTATAAAAACTTAGATGCAAGTTCAATTTCGTATACCGCTGATACGGAAAGGCGTTCGCGTTTTGCCAGCCATAGAAAATCTGGCTATTCTAATTTGCAAATATCGAAATAGAAATCAAATATGCTGAAGATGCTGATTGCTAGGGAACTACAGCCGCTTATATCTTTCTATCATTTCACCTAATTAAACGTCAGGGTTTTTCGATAAAACGAGAAAATAATTAATTAATCAAATTTCAGTTTCAGTCCCAAGCCGGCCAAAAATCTTGACATGCTTGCGTTTGTCAGGGAGAAATATTTGCCATGATATTGGTCTCTCTAGTTTATTTTCAAATCTTCCAGCCTCTCTAACCAGAATATAATATAATCTGGTTAAATTATTATTCATATGAAATATAGTTTCATGCAGCAACAAAGCGACTCTATCCAACCTTTATTAAGAAAGATTAGACATTCCGAGCCAATACCTAACCAAAGAAAAAAAAAAGGAATTAACTATTGCCGTATTCACTACGGTTTTCATTTGTATTAACGCAAGTTCTTTATCAATTGGCTACTTTTCCCACCGAGTTGCGTGAGGCTGTTCAAGTCTTTCTGAGTATATTTTTAATGCCTTAGCCATAAACAATGGATTGCGTGAAATAGTCTCAGGGAAGGAGGTCGCGTTAATAAGCACAACTGAGATGGCAACGAGCTAAATTGTCGAACACATATTAATTCGCAAGAAATGCATAGAGGGCTTGGTATTGGTTCTGAACATTTAGTAGTAAGCTGACCGCTAACAATCATCAAGTCACTCAGAGTTCTATAAAGTATAGGATTTACGTCTCTCATACTTATTCACTTACTATTTGTCATAGATACCCATTTGAAATCACAATATGCAATTTATTAACTAGAATTATCAACCATGTCGGATTGTTTTGGATTATTGATGATTTGCGCATCTCATATTCTTGCACCTCTTCCGTACTCATATCGTCATATATATTACGAATTTATAACTATTCATTGAATTAATAATTAACGTAAAAATGATAATATTAGTACAGTAAACAAAAAATTTACCTCTATTCTGGCTATATCATTATCAGAACCATTGTTGATAGGAAAGGCGTGCTCTTACATTTCCGATATTTACATTCTTTACAAGCAGTGCTCACTAATACCAACTGGCTAGTCAATTTAGAAAGATAGCGATTCAAATATATATTAATGTGTCTCGTTGTTGGGGACTATTTTCAGCAGCAATAATAGAAATCAATGTCGTGTTTTATAGAACCGTTGAGATCAATCTCGCTTCCATCACGTGTTGATATAGTACATTGATGGGCTTAATATGATGCGAAATGTGAAAAACAAGTAAAATCTTCGAATAAGGGATGGAGGAATGAGAGAAAATATGGTATGGAGAGTAGAACTATCGCTATGTCCACTCTACGTTTCTCTATGTCCCAACGCGTCATAAAGTTGCCTTGGATTGGCTCATCTTCTCCATCGAAATACTCCAAGCGTTCATCCAAAGAGTTTGCTCAAAAGAATGCCTTTTATTTTGCATGTCCTTCTTCGTCAGGGAAAGAATGTCGTTTTAGCTTTGGCCTGCTCCCACGCCATTTTTGCTAAAAAGATTGAACACAGAGTCACTAACTTAATCAATGACGTTTACATCCCATATTAGGAACCTTTTACACTATGTCTTTACTCTGCCCTATGAACACAATACTCTATACTTTCCCTAATATTGTTGGACTGAAACCTTATGTTTAACAGATTAATTTATTCACTATTGCGTGACTCGATTGAGCGCTAAGTAATTAATCAAAGAAAGAAGGATCCACCTACCATGAACTGGATGTTAATTATAACGATCAAGTATGTGACAATTAAGACTTATTTAATTCAATAAATATGTAAAGTCAGGTTGACTCGCATTTTGGTCAGTAAGCCTACTGCTAACAGTGCTAATTTACTGCATTTATAAGTTTCAATGCCACAGAAACACGCGAGTTTTAAGTGTTTTCTATTATATTATTCTCGGCTAAAGGATAAGATATACGATACAATTAAAACACACAATAAAATGCGAAAATTATTCATTTGCCGTGTCTGAAATATACCGATACGATGCTATACGCGTAACGTATACACACGTACCGTTGTGGCAACACATTCTTCTACCCTTTTGGCCACACACTATCAATCGGTTTTCGATGCGGAATTTGTTTCTGTCTTTAAGAAATTTTCCTTTTTTTAATGCTTAAAGATGATTTTGATCCTCACGAACTTTATCTTTATCTCACAAGTTTACGCCATGTCTTGGCGAGGCACCCAATGATGAGGATGATTCATTAGTATACCTGCATGTGTGCCCGGGGTATTTCCCTAATTGATTTTAGTACCCTGGGTACTTCTGTAGGGGAGGGTACACCGTATTGTGACACGACGCGAAATAATAACTGACTTAACATATGTATGTATATGTATTGATCATAATGATAAATTGCATCATAACATTATGCTAAGCGTGTATCCACGTACTTTCAAATCAATACTAACAGAATGGGCTATAAATCAAAAGGCCAAAAATATTGTTATTATATTAGTACCCGGGAATCTGCCTTCTGAAACTGGTGGAGTACATCTCATGGGGGATACATATGTTGGAGTTTTACGGTATTTATTCTTCAGTATTACACAAGACGTGTCTCGGATATACCACATCCAATATTAATCTCTGGCAAACAGCGGCTGTGTCTTGTTTAGGAATACGGTTTGTCTTTATCTATCTATTCTAGATTTGTTAACTGGCTTATATTTTTCGCCTTGATGAACAGCATTCTCAATAAATCAAGGATATTATTACTTGCAAAATATCAGCGTATATAGATTTGTTTCTGTATGTAAAAATTGCGAGATGGTGTTCGCGACAATTCATAGTGGCGTCACCTCGTCCCCGGATAACTAATGTATTATTAGGTACGTGTGGATCTCTCTCCCAGGTCCAGTAATTTCGTTCCGGGGCATTAGTATTGGCATGACCAAAAAGCAGTAATATACCAACACAATGTCAACAGTGTTTACGTTCAAACAGATGTGGTAAAAATTAATTCTTTACTATATTCTTTACAACATTGTAAAATATGGAAACGATTGTTCGATTACATCTGATATTTAGTCTACCGAATGCAAAGAAATGAACGAGCCAGCATTTACAAGTTCAAAAGTAGCAAGAGAAAAAAGGTCTTCCGAAGTCAGATAAAGTCAAATTAATAGCAACATGCCAGTCTATTCATATAAAAACAACGTGTCGCACAGTATTGATATCATTACTAATTGATTTTTTTTAAATATTTTGTCAGCTTTCAGAATAACTTTTCCCTGGAAAAAATTAGTTAAACTTTGGAACTTGAAAAGGCTTGTTGTCCAATGAGTGTCAGATGAAAACTTTGTAAACTCACTTCTCTACTTCTAATAAACATACTTTACATTTAGTATAAATAATCATTGCTTTATAACACTATTAAATAGGTCCTTAATCTTCACTAGTTGTCTCAATGACATCAACTTCTTCTGTAGTCGTGGTAATAGTTTCAACGCCAGGATTAGAATCGTCTACCACAACTTCAACTTTTTCAATTACCGATGTTCTCTCTACGGATATTGCAGAGTGATTATTATTGTCCGAGTCCGAGTCCGAGTCCGAGCTAGAAGAACCAGAAGTTGATCCACTTCCTCGACGTTTACGCCTACGCTTGCTGCTAACAACACCAATTGCGCCGACTGCTGCAGAACCCGCGACGACTCCAGCAGCAGCAGATTTCTTGCCTTTTCTGCCAAATATACTAAAGATAGAAGATTTCTCCTTTTTCACTGGCGCGTCTGCTCCCGTTATCACATTAAAGTTGTTTGGATTCTCCCCGGTCGCAACAAATGTACTAGTGTTCTTCTCTCCAGAGCTGCCTCTGCCAGCACCGACTCCAGCTAATATCGTTTTGGGTTCTTTTGCAGTAGAAGTGCTCTCATATTGTGTGGCTTCAATCTCTTCAGTTGAATCCTTCTTTGATTTGAACAGCCCAAACCCAGCGCCGGCAAACCCGGAAATGCCGGCTTGAATAGCAGAGAATTTACTGGGTCTTGGCGGCTTATTTAAGTTGAATTCCTCCTCATCGTCATCAAGAAGGTTTTCGCCATCCGATTCCCTAAATTTATCCGTCTTTGTTCGTATTGGTGGCACTTCACCAAATTGAACATCGTCTGGGTTGTAGACTCCTCCACCACCTCCTCCTGATGCATCGATTTCATTCTTTTCGTCTGGAGTGAGGCCGTCAACATCTTCTTCTTCCTCAGTTTCTCGTAATACGTCTACATCTACTACATAATCTTTGAGGAATGTTTCGAGATACTGGAGTCTCTGTTTAGTTCTTACACTAGAATCAATTGGATCGACAAGTGGTATGTATTTCGGATATTGTGACTTGATGTTTTCTTTGACCTTTTTGCGCATACAGAAGCTCTGACATAGACCCCACGGCAAGATTGGCGAGGCACCTTTGAGAATTATTAGTGTCAGTATGATATGTTATAAATGTTGCGACAATAATATGGCACACCAAACGTAATACTAATAGATTTTTATATAGCATCGCTATCGCTGTCGTAATGTTAATAGAGTGAGAATATAATTACCAAACAGGCAAACGTAGATTCCGACTACCAGAAGATAGAATCCAGAAATCAAGGCAAGACCGTCGAGTACCTAAGAAGAATGATCTGTTAATACTATCGTTGGGGGGGGAGACGGAATATCATCATTTTATCATGTAGAGTAATCAAAGTACTTACAGTGCGTGTTCTTTTAGTGTGTGGATAGATAAGCGTGAGTATATATATTACGCGATTTAAGTAAGCTCGATAGTTCGTGTAACTTACCTGATCTCTATGTTTTCTTCTGTATACCAATCGAGTGTGCCAACGAACAAATGTCCATATATTTGTTGGTTTTGTTGAAGTGTTGCGAATACGTTCACTGGGTCAGCGACAGATTCTATAGAAAGAAACAATCAATTAATCCATTGAACCATTCGTTGCATCTCCGTGTCTTTTTATCTTGGCACTTACCGAATCTTGACTGCAAGAACGGCCAATTATAGTACGATGGTGGGATGCCCAACCAACCACCAAATGTTGATTTCATCTTCTTTTTTATTGTTCTGGTGACAAACATCCAATTATTTTGTTTGGCACCAACCACATAAGCGTTTGCCTCATCAAGTCTGTTAAAGAAGTTTGGGTCTATACGTCTGACTAGACTTTCTACCTTTGGCTCCAACGTGCGAGGGTCGAATCCTGTGACAAAGAATGTATATAATCATACGTGGTGAGCATTTCATTGATAACAGTATCGATTGATACAATTATATGTAGGTACCTGAGTCGTATGCACGCACAAACAATCCCAGGTCATTCTGTGCAGTGTATGTAGTGTCGTCTAGGAAAAAGGTGAACCATATGCCGTAACGGCCGTCTGGGAGACTGTAATTGAAATTGTCGAGTGCTGTGAAGTACCCATAATATCTTCCGTCATCTGATTTATTACATGGCTGGGTGAGGTATTGTGCACAGATATCTTGTGATTTCAAGGAGCCATCTTGGTAATAGGATAGGAATCGTTAATATATAATATAGGCATATAATTGCTGCTGCTATTGTGTTGTTATAATTAATACTCACCAAGCTGTCGAAACTGGCATGAAACATTAAATTTATAATTAAATGATAAAGATAAATCTATTACACCGTTAGTAAGTATTACTTTTTGTTGAAATAGTATTTGCTTTAATCGACTCATGCTCACCAGCTGCTGGTACTGTGTCTGTCGGGATTACGTTTTTAACTACAATTGTGTTTGACCGTGCGATAAAGACTATTAATATAGCAAGGTAGCCCAACACAGCTATAGTTGCGAGACATAGAGTCAATATTCTTCCCGAGGCTAATATTTTTGGTTCTCTCTTCCAGTACTTTCGCCGCACTTCCGTATACTCGTCTACGATCTCCATCGTTAATTCTATTCTATTAGATAATTACAATTATGTAATTGTATGGAGTGCAATGGCAAATGGATGAGCAAAAGAACAAGAGCAGCATAGTTGAGTATATATATATATAGTATTTATGAGAGTACATAATACCAATTATAAATTTTCGTTGCTTGTGATGATATGCAGTAAGAAGGAATCCTATTCACTGACAAAGGTAGCTGTAGTGGCAGGTAAGTGCATTATCGTACACGTACGATCTGTTGACTTCAACAACATTGGAATAATTGAAGACTCTATTCTAGAATAAAATGTATATATAAATTGTAGAGTTGATTGGATAATTTATATTTGTTGTACCGAGAGACAATAAGTCACATATTGTATTTCATCGTCAAACCGCTAAAATATTAGAAATTTAGTAAGATTTTGTAACAAGTAAACAAAGAGGTAGGGCAACGGTACACATGACATTAGTGCGAATGGAGTGCTCTTCAGAAATTCCTTAACCAGCTATAGACAATAAGTCGGTCTAACCAAATTGATCCATAGATAACAAAAGGTCTTTGATGTTATCACAATTGCTATCACACACCCTTACCTTGCTTTCTCGCGCTCACGCTGTTCTCGTATCTGCAGATCTTTCTAATTCTCCGAATTCATTCAGACTGCAGAATATGGGAGGCAAAATATTTAACGTATGATGTAAACATAATACAATGTGCATAAAGAATGTTACCAATTAGGCCTAGTCAAAATCATTATAAAGACTGTCATTGCTTTAAGCTCTGTTCGCACAATCTTTGTATTATTGCTACTATATTTGCAAGTCCCCGCCACGGAATAACCGAGCATAAAATATGTTCTACATAATTGTTCGCATAACATAGTTACAAAGATACAACCATCTATGTGACATATATTAATATAGTGAATAAAGTGATAAGAATAACAACATGCAGTGTTAATAGTGCATGTCCGAATTCAGTTAATTAAGCAAAATCCAAAAAGGCTTTTAGCCGTTTGTATCACAAATTATGTAAGGCAAGTCACTGGCTCTGATTTTGATATTAATAACTGAAATTTTACCCGACAGTAGTGCAACCCGATAGGCGATTCTATATTAAGATTAAAGTAGCACGATAATAATAGATTTAAAATGAGGAAACCCCGTTTTTAGCGTTAGGGTACGGAATTATAACGCCACAAAAAGAACTGCTAAGCGCCATAAAAAGAACTGCTAAAACGCCATAGTTGTGTACTAACCCTCATTTATCTAAACTATTCCATATACATCGACAACATTGTTTAGAGTTCCTTAATACGATTAGTTTGGTATTCAGGTACAATTCTGCCATGTACATTGCATAATAATAATAGAATAGACCCTATCTCTCGATACGAACGAAGACTTGACAATTGCGCCGAATTTTGTTAGACAGATTGTTTATGTGCAAGTGGGCGGTGTTACATTTGATTATAACTCGTTCGTACAATTATGACATCATGTTAATTAAATGGTTTCCAAACTAGTATGTCTGTTTAAAACGTGAAAAAGGATTTTCAGACAAAGTGGAGCGTATTTTAGTTCCCAACCGATAAAAGGGTTCTCATTGCATTGTCTTGTTCTGCTTGGATTATAGTAACAGAGCTTAAAAAGTTCCATTACAGTCGTAGTCTGGGTCTAAATAATTAAACTTTATTTATGATTCTTTATGCTTATCAAATCGAGCTAATAGTAACAATAATAATAACACCGGGGTATTACGTTTTCCGGTTTCATACTAATTGTACTATTAACCCATTTTAAGCGTAATTTTGGGTTTTGAGTATCATCTGCACCAAACGAGTCTTGACTCTTAAGCAATTACAGGCTGCGTAAAGATTGAAAATTGGTTAAAGAACTGCTTTATTAATTCGCGGAAAACCATCAAACAATTCAAAAATAAAAACAGGTTGATAATAGCACTACGGAAATAAATAGCATAGATCGCCACTTGAATAACAAATTGTATACGTGAGATAAACTGTAAGCGTTTTCTTCTCTAGCATTCCATGAACATTCTTTTCTAATTTGTTGCGCCTAAATAAAGATCTCGAAACCTCTTTTCTAATTTGTGCTGCACCTCTGTTCTGGACCGAGACAACTGCGTTCCGGACTGAGTGTCTGTTCTGAACTGAGACGGGTCCCAAACTCAGACACAACAATGACAAGGAAAACTATGACCGATTTGTCTAATTTTTAGTGTTGGGAACGTGGAGAGAATAGAATCTTGGGAGAAATTTGTAAGTAGTCAGACAAGATTAAAAAAATGTTCGTGTATTAACAATGGCAAACTTGCTACTGTCCCGTGACTGACGCGTACTATAATTTGAGCAAAAATGCAACTTGAGTTTGCTAGGTTTAAAAGTCCGATTCCTTTACAGGTAATAAAGAAATTGAAGCATATAAGTACATGAAAGACCTCAATTATATTGTATCAACTGAGAAATCCGATCATTGTAAGCAGGCGTTAAGATGCAAAGAACGTTCCTGGTATTTGCTTGTTTGCTTGTCACAGTGAGCTTCATGTTGACACCAGTGAGCATGGGCTGTGTCCGCATAGGTTACGTTCCCTGGTCATAGGATTTCATGAAAGCTCCTGTATTTACACAGACTAATATTTTGTATCTTTATACTGAGGTCAATAAAACTATTTTGGGAGTGGTTTGTGCATTTTATTTTTGACGCAATTAATCAGTTGTCAGAGCCTAGGCGATTACTAATGGTGCTTATATTGAATCTAATTCGTTAAAAGCTACGAAAGCAAGTGTTTCTGAATCATCAAACAACCAAATCTTTATTAAGGAATTAACCATTTGTATTCCTTTCCTGATCTAACAATCTACCCCGTTTATAACACTAGGCTCTTCCCGTATACTTCCACTCCTTAACATACTCGGCCCAGAATTCTTTGAATACTGTCTGAGCAACTCTACCCAAACTACTCATTACCAAATCTCTCTCATGTTCGGTACACAGATCCATCAACGAAAACAACCCAATATTAAGCGTCTCCTTGACTTTGTTCTCTATGCCTTCGACTAGTATTTTCATGTACTCAACTAGTATGAATGAAACATGTTTCTTGAAAGCCTTCGACAATTCACTTGACCGAATCTTGTTATATTCCGAGGTGCTTAGTACGGATGCAGTATCTTGCGGTATTTCTGCGAATAATCTTGCTAGTTTCTGTGCCGATTTTATTGTGACCTCTTCACCGGACGTGGATATATTGAGTTTTGTTCTGAATGTTGATGGCTCTAAACCCAGACTGCTTGTTGACGGGCGTTTAAACGCGTTGAGAAGAATATAGATAATAGCAGTAACCGGCGGGAGTGTCCTCATAATTTCCGATCGACGGTACTTGAACATGACGTGTAGCAAATCACAAACACTATTGAATATTGACGCAGAATTCCTCTGTTCTCTCGAGTCGTAATTAGCCAGCAGTGAGTGAACTGTTGAAGTCACACCAGGAATTTCCAATGTAAAGTCTCTTTGTATACATAGATAAGCAAATATGTTCAATACACGCATTATTGTGTTGTCGTTTGTTTCACATTGATCAATATTGCATAAGTGACTTATCAATAAAGAAAGATTCTTCTTGACTATGAATTTGTTTGTACTTTTTGACTCTCTAATCATTATATCGATCAATATAATGACCGTGTCGACGTCTCGAGGCTTTGGTTTGAGAATCATCTTCCTGAGTATTCCATGCGTGTCTTCATATATATTCTGAAAATGTTCTCTTGACAACGAACGTATGAATTTACAGGCTATATTCTCGGCCTGTCGATTAATTGCGGGTTCTTTTGTCAAGTAGACGCTAAATATGTCCCAAAATATCGATATAATTTTCTCCACAATGTCTTTTCCATTAGGCCCATCAAAAAAATTATGGCTCTCAGCAACTATAGACATAATCGTGAGTACGTTTTTTATGATATCTTCGTCGCCGAGTTCATTCTTTTTGCTCATTAACTTGTACGCAAAGCCAACAAGTTTCTCTAGAACTTGCATTAGATCGCGTCTCCTAGTCTCGTCATCCTTAAGTAGGTTGTCAAACTTAATGCTGACTTTGAACGCTCTAAGAAGACTGCCAATATTGTTAAATTTCTTGACGTCCTTCTTTGTGTCTAAACTGTCATTATTGCACAATTCCTCACATGTTACATCGATATAAGATTGTAAACTTTGAGTTGATTGTTCCAAAATTAAGTTGCTTAAGCTCACAAGAGGGACCCAATATTGTGGCTGGTGATTAGACTTTACCTTCTCACGATGTTCTATACAGACATCTATTACATCAACAATGAAGCTCAGTGCCCAATCGTTGCCTAATATATCATCTTCTCCAGATACCTCTTCAGTCATGATAGCATCAGATTTAATTGGAGACAAAGACTTGAGAAATTCGATAACGCTAACCATATAAACATCCTGTGCTCTTTCAAGAACTCGGCGCACCGTCTTGGATATTACACTAGTTGAGACGTTGAACAACTCATCGCGAAGACGCGTAATGGCCTCTTGGTTATCACTGGTGTTAGCTATTTGATAGAGCCGCCGTTCGTTAATGATGATAGTTACGATCCACCACCTAAAATATACTATGGAATGGCTCAATATGCTTAGTGTACCATATTCTACTAACTTCAAAACGAGATTTCGACATGCGAGTGTTGTTTTTGCACATTCTAACCCTCCACCTTCAATCATTCTTTCAACCACCATTGCAGCAAGCATAAGTCCGTCTCTTTGACTTTTGGTAAAATAACTTAATGGAAATAACTGCAATAGATCGATAATCGCTCTTAAACGAACATTAATTACCGATATTCCGTCAACCTCCTGATTGAATCTCGAATCTTCCGAGTCATCTGAATCAGATTCGGTATTGGCTTTTGTCATCTTGGTGCAATGAATCTGAGTTATTCTGGTTGTCTCTGAGAATAAGTGTTCAGCATCACTATATATAGATCGACGATCCTGTGACGTAGAGATCAAGGACAGTATGAGTTCCAAGTCGGAAAATAGTCTCGATGGCGATTTCGTAATCCGTGGTACAACAAATAGCATCTCCTTAAGACATACATCGAAAAAGACTTTCTTAATCGCAGGCAGTTCATAAAATTCGGCAGATCCGAAAATCTCCAAACATAATGTCTTTGGAGTATATTCAAGAGTATTATTATTATTATAGCAACTATCCATATAACATCTAACTATGAATCGGGTTATGCGTTCAGCACTTTCCTTAGAGTCGTTGTCACAAATAATGTCCAACCAATCAACAAAAAAGACCTTGGCAGCGGCGAGTGAGTAGTTATCCGCGTTAATATCACGTATCTTTCCACTCCAAGTAATTTTAGGACCAGGAACCTGTATTGCTTCCAGTACATCCGCAATTAACATTGATTTCACATCATTGGTGTGGATATTTGCATGAGCTTGAGTAAGGTTGGGAGACTGTGCATTGATTACCACTTTGATATGATGCATAAAGATTTGATAGGTTAAAACCTTGGCCCTAGGATCGTTCAATGTCCAACTTTTTATTCGAAAAGTGACATCGGCAAAACTGACCCAATATGTTGCACATATCTCCGAAAGAGCCAAGTGAATGGAAAGAGCAGCATAAATAAAGTGAACCATATGTGAATGTTCGACATCAACAAGTTCAATTACGGGGGAAACATAATTTTTATAGAAATTTTTAAATATGGTGTCGAACTTTGCTTCCACCTTAATGGAACGTAAAAATGGAATGAATATTGGTATCAGTAACTCGAGCTGAGCAGAGCTACCACGGTCTGATTTGTCGTTTCCCGAGTTCCTCCATCCCTCTAACGGGGTTCCTAATTTGCTGGCTTCCAAATTTTCCGAGTAAACTCGCTGTAATTGTTGGTCCATGACCGACAACAGTTCAACAATCTCGTCTTCGCGTTGAGTTGACACACATGCTGCAAACTCGCCCAAATATTCATTGCTATAAACCACACTCTTTAATACTGTCATCCAATTACTTATGACTTCCACAGTATCAATTGCTTCGAGCAAGCTCACCAAATACACATTCAACTTGTGACTCTTGGAATAAACGGTGAGAAACACTCGTACAAATGTAGACGCTTCCACACGCGCATCTTCTGCAGACATCAAGATAATAGGCCATATCCGTGCCAAGTGTGTTTCTACGCTATTGTTGTTAATCTTTAGGACAAGCACTAAAAACTCTAAAAGCTCACGCTGAAGATAAAAGATCTTGTCTATTCTCTTCGTACTCTCTCTCACTAGTCCGGAAAGATCTTCGAGGAAACACTTGACTTCATGTATGGCGTCGTCTCCGGGTCTGTACAAGTCGTTCTCGAAAATCCGCAAAAGCTTGTTGATAGCTTCAAAAATACGTCGCTTTGCTTGTAGAACACCATTATGCTCTTTATTATCTTTCAATATAGCATTGAAAGCGTTACTCGCTTTAGTCCATAACTTCAAGAAAAAATTGCGCGTCGCATTACGGTCTGTCGACTGGCCTAAGAGACTGTGGGTAAGTAGATCAGGAAGACTGCTAAGGCCTGTTATGCATATAATAGATAAGAATACGTGAGCGGCTGATATTTGCAATTAGAGATATTGGAAAGCGACTTATTTGTGATCAAAAGGAGAGCGACAATGTTCGTTAATGAATGCGTGGGAAACGATGAATAACACAGTAAACACAGGATTAAGCTTCAAAAAAAAAAGCCTTGCATTTCCGGTTTGGCACCAGTACCATGGATTAAGATGTCGCCCCTTAAGTCAAAGATGAAATCATGACATTACTTGTCCACAGCCAGGACGATATAAAGACGGATCATTAACTGTTTAATACGTCATTCCTATATAATGATTAATTGTGAATACATGGACAATACTAACTTACATGCAATAGTTTCTTTGTCAAAAGTAGTAGCCGAGTTAGCTATATTTGATATGACGTCGAGCAGGCTGCTAGTGAGAGGGTTGGCCGCGATAGTTTTGGACGCGTTTCCGGGTGCCTCTTTATCTGTGTGCGACAATTGTTCTTTGATAAAATCCTGTACGAAAATAGCAATTCTGACAATATTTTCAAATCGCCTGACTGTTGCATCGATCATTTCTGTGTTTTTCGATTGACTGCGCAGTATATGCAGTGAATGATTGGCTATGAGCATCGGTTTTAGAAGTTTAATAACAACCGTATCATACACCTGTCAACAAAAGAACGCAGTGAGTCGCTGTAATTTTATAACTACACATTATAATGAACTTTGGGTTATAATAATATTCTCACCAATTACCTTTCGTGTGTTCGCCGCTGCGATTATTGCTTTCTCGTAACAATCTGCTGCAGTGAACAACCATTCAATTAATATCTTTTCGTTATGTTCGTCAGCCATAATATCTTCTCTTTTATATATAGTACAGACATTCAGGAACAGAGTTGTCAGATGCTCAAATGAAGGTCTGAATAGTATATGTTGAGATTCAGCAAGCAATCGGAAGCATTCAGTTGCGACTGTCACAGTACCAGTGACCTGATGGGTAATTTGTTGTTCAGTGGCAACGTATTCTGCTAATGATATGAGTGGAATTATGAGAGGCGATTTAGAAATGACGACTTTCATACGCCCTGTCGAATGTTTATGAATTGTACTGTCATTGATGCAAGAGATAATGCTATGAAGAAAACGCCAATAATCTTGATTGAGATAGACAGGTTGATTGACACTAATATAGACAAAATATACATTAATATACGGGTAGCAGTCAGAGTAAAACCATCAAACATAACGATAATACTAAATTGCAATTGACTGTGTAAATATGGAGTTGAACTACTATTGTTTTTAATGACGAAGATTGATTGTATGAAATGATAGAGTCGACAATATCCGTGTCCAGTATAACAAATATTAGTATTATTACAATGGCCACAGTTAAATACTCACACCTAACATTACGTTCCCTAACGATGGTTTTGTCATATTTATCGTTGAATTACTTGCCTCTTTGATTCTTTCTTTCCACATGATTTTATTAGGGATGAACTCACCCATTCGGCCAGATACTCTCCCTTATTGGGAAATATAATATCAGATGAATTCCATGTATCGAACGCTATCGCCAGTTTGTTTTCATGAGAAACCTTTGAAGATTTGAGTGATTTAACAACGTCCTCTGAGGTTGAGGTAGTGCTATGAATCATCATGAGCATAGATGAGAAAAAGAAATGGGATTGATGAGAAATATGTTGATTGTGAACATGTGATTATCAGCCAAATCTAAGATTTTCTGAGATTTCCCAAACCCTATTAATTAGGATTTACATTCTAATTAGGGAGTGACTTCGAGTGTTTATACGTTACCAAGCTATTGAGTGGTATACTGGATACCCAGCTCCTGCCAAATTCGACAAACTGTGATACGGTTGGTTGAAGGATATCACAGAAACAGATAACAATGAGATAGCAGGTGACGATGAGACGATATAATTACCATGCAATGTTTGTTACAGTACAATTATTATAATTGCAGCCAAAATAATCCACGTAAGAGTTTTCTTATCGGTATATGCACTCGTTCATGTAATCAACACGATCACACTTGAGATCGCTGATTTAACGATCAGTGACACGCAAGTGGGGGTGAACTCTAGCAAAATCTTAAAGTTTCCACTCTTCAGGCAACGAAGCATTTGAATAAGATTCCCTTTATGTCAGTAAACCCATTTGTCCCTCTTGGGTTGGCACATTCTCTGGAAAGCGATTGATCTAGTAAGGGCCGGGATACACGAATCTCCCGTTCTTAACTTCCAGTTTCGATGCGTTGTGTTGGGCGTAAGGCTATAAAGACCTTATCAGTGGCACAACGTCTGTCACCTTTCATTCTATTGTGTTTGCCTACTAAACAAAATGGCACTCTTCAGGATGTCTGTCAAAGGAATTTGCTTTCTCCACACGAGAGTTCAATGGTATTATTAAAGGATAACATTGCTAAAATAAATAGAGCGTATTCTCCTCCCGGTTTTCGAATTGGCATTCTGGTGGGAAAGCTTGATCTTCAAAACAAAAATTACTTTTACTGCCGAATGGTTCCAAAATAAGATAAATGAAGGAACTTACTCAACGGCCAAAAGTTACAAGAAAATAAGCACTGAAGAACAAAAACAAGCAAGTGAAGTTTTGGGGCTCAATTCAGAAGGAATTTACATTGAAGCTAGTGAAAATTATGGGCCATTGTCAAGCAGAAAATGGGGAAACAACAACCAAGAAATATTGCAGAATTAGAACAGTTATGATATATAAATGGGATAATATTCCGCTAAATTATAATGTTATAAATTAATTTAATTGAGTCAATTAAGGGACGTTGTCAGCTTACTATTACCTGTTGATAATAATGGCAACAATATTTAATTAACTTTTTAAATAAAATTGTCTAGTTTTTTGCTTTCAAACAAGTATTTAATCATCTGATATAACGCAGCTGTGTCTATAACCCAACCGCTATTTATTGTTATATAATCACGTGATCTAATTGTTCTATAGAGCCTCATATCCTTTGCCAATCGTTAAGCCCAAATCATATGATTATTCAACTGATGTGTTGTTGTCAATATAAGCCACAAAATGGTGGATAAGCTGTAAAAACATGTCTCCAACCGCTCAACCTTGCATATTAATAGGCGTTGTCTTTGTGTAAATATAAAGTAAATTTAAAATAAACTATTCAACATTTAATTTACATATACAGTCGAACCCATACCGAAGGCACGGGGGGTCATCTATGATTCGTTATAATGAGGAATTCGGTAAAACAAACACTCTCTTTGTAACGAAGTCTAGCCTAAAGTCAAGTAATATTCGGTATATTGAGACTTTCGTAAACAATGTTTATTAGTTGCAAAATAATACAAATATACAGTCGCAGGAGAAAACAAAAAAATATATAATGATTTCTATGGATCACTCAAATGTTAGAAAATCAAGTCCACCTTAGCTGTGCTTAATAAAGGACACACAAAATCAAAAGAATATTTATGTATCGGAAATTCATTTTGAGAGAATATAATCGGTCGACCTTAAAATTGTTCGATGCGTCAGTGAATAAAAAACACATGATTAACTATTAAATAACGATGCAGAATATTCATATTCACGTAAAGTTGTATGACAACATGCAATTTGCTTTACAACCAATCACTGTATCGTATGACAAATTTTCTAATTGCTACAACCAATCATCATGTTTGAATTTGTATCACGTGATCAACTTCGTTATAAGGCGACTAGTTACCATATACAAAATCTTGCAACCGAACTTCGGTAACGGAATAACGAGGTTTACTATTAAAATTCGTAATAACGATCAAATTTAAATATTGAAAAAAGGGGAAGAACGCTTGCTTCAATATAACAAAAATTCGTTATAACGCATTTCGTTATACGGGTTCTTGTTGTAAAATGTAGTTTATTAAAATTACAAAGACTAGATTAAATGTTTATTTTAATAAATAAATTGATAATAAATAGTAAAAATGGCCTTAAAACCGATGTTTGGAAGTAGTATCTGTCTTTAAAATCCATTATTTTTCAACAACTCATCAGTCTGTTGAGATCTTTAGTTTTGGAACAATAATAAGATGAAAAAAAAATAGCATTTAATAATAGGGGAACTCTAATACTGACATAGTCTCAATAGAGTAAATTTTACAAAAAACTAAAAAATTTACATAAAAAATTTTGTAAAAATGGATTTTTCTTCATACATGCTCGTTTTGATTACAATTTATCTTGTTTGAAACCTCAAAATAAGATAAAAAATTTTTATTCGTTTGCAAAATTAAGGGCAAATTTGTCAAAATTAGGCCTACAAATTAAGGGATAATCCGGGCCCCCAGATGTCTTGAAATCGTTCTATAAGATAGCTCAGCCGATTAGTTACTTATTACCATCTTTCGAGATGAGATGGTTGGATCCTGCTCAAATATTGACCGATGGTCTTGGATGCGCTGGTAGTGATTTTTTTAGGACGACTGCTTCCTTTTTATGTGTGAAGCAAATCTAGAATAACAGCAGGTCAATCATCACAAACAGGGCAATAAGGGGCATTCGCGCAACACTACTAGTGTCTTTTATTTTATTATTTTTTTAACAGAATATTTTGATTGTTTTAATTGGAATGTTAGTTTTTTATAAATTTCTAGAAAAGATCCCCTGAGTAAAACAACTTGAATTGTTGTTTGACAACGTAACAGTTCAAAAGTGCAATGAGAAAACAAAAAACTTGCAAGACGCGATACGCGTTAAATGCAGTGTGTTACAAAATTATCTGGAATAATATTTTAGTCTATTGTGTGATGAAAAAAAAAGCCAAATTGTCCAGAATTTATAATTATATTTTGTATAATATAGAGACAAATTTACTTAAGGACAGCTAATAGATTATCTTATTAAAATTTTTAAATTAATCTTGGAAAAAAAGATCGAAAAAGTAATTATAAGTTAAAAAAAAAAACAACAGAAAATTTTTTTATAAAAATTTTATTAAGATATTTAATTAAGTGACTTTAAGTAAACTCGTTTGTAACAACATGAAGAACATATTTGAAAATTTTTATGTAAACATAATTTGTTTTATACAAGTAATAACAAAATTTTTCGAGGGTTGAATTTTTGAAATTAGACGACATTTTAATAAAATAACTCATTAGATTGCCGTACGTAAATTTGTTTCTTGTATAAAAATACATATATTTGTAAACTTTTATCTAATTCTGTCATACTTTTTATATTAGAAAAGAATAATTTTGTAACATATTGTAAATAGTAAACATTAATACGTTCGAGCATCACATGATTAAACCCACATGATTATCGAGAGCAAGAATTTTTTGTTACACGCTGGACTCAAAACATATAATTATAATAGACTTACTAATATTCATATCATTAAGCAACCAAATCAATGGACTTCTAATGCGCCGTTACTACATGGCTTTGGTCTTTCTGGTATGCTTTGAACAAATTTGTTGGGTAAATTTATCGCACCTGAAGCATTTTTAGGATATTTACTTTTTCTGTCATTTGAGTAGTGAAATCGTCAGATAATTTTCTACTTGAATAAAATTTTGACAGAACTCCTTTCCATATTATAATGTACTGCGCTCAATATTTGCACCATGTTTCTGAAATAATAAATCGTTACAAGCTATAACCTAAGATGAGAACTTACATATAAACAACTTGTAGAGAGCAGAAATAGAAGTTCTGAGCTGATTATCTTTACTATAGTGCGTTTTACTACTTGAGAATCGACAATAAATTGTGTAAGAGTATGTGAAATTCAAAAGAGTCCTGCTAGCTTGGATTTAAGATTTAATATTAAGTAAAGCGAGTTCATTAAACATACTTATATAAATATGGGGGGTTTTTTTTAATAATAACAAACAGTTACATTTTGTTTTCTTATCCGATAATCATGTTAGCAATAGGTAACTTTCTACCAATTTAGTTTACTTCGCCGACAGTCAATTTGACGTGGTTATCTTGCTCCATTTAATTTTCTCGCTAATTTGTTTATTGTTAATTTATAAGGACAAATGCGACGTTTTTCGGAGAGAATAACGTTTTTCGATGCCAGTTTCAAAAGCAATTGGAAATCAAGTCTTTTGCATTTGTACATGTGACATTAGCAAAGCTACTCACAATCGATACAGTGGAGCTACAGTATGTCTGAACTATGAATTCTAAACTAATAGGATTTACAATTACAATAGGGCCAGAATTTAAGCAATTACAACATGTACAACTTTATTGCTGAGAATTTAAGCAATTACTATTACATCTTGATCGTAAAATCTGATACAGTGTAGTACTAGATTTAACCAATGAAAGCAACGATCAAAAAAAAAAAAATTTTTTTTTTTATTTCTGATCAAACTCACTCTCTTTGCTCGCATCGTTGGGATACGCTGGTGACGTTTATTTGAGGAGCAAATAGTCCAGTGTTATTATTATTATAGACCGTCTAATATTTTGTATTGCAATGATGAACTCCATTGTCAGACGTCTTAGCCTCGGGCGTAATAATTTCTCCTTACTGTCTCGTGCGCGGTTTTTTTCCACACGACTCGCATCTATCCGGTCTTTACCTACTCGATGGAGAAATGTGATACAAATCAATAATACCGTAAGAATATACGACAAGATCACGATAGCATAGATAGCAGTAGCTTGTTATATATATATCATTTCTCACTCTTACGTTCAACTTGCAGCTCCGTATACAAAAGCGTTCACTAGAATTTTTCCGCCCCGGTGACTGGATATGCCCTGAATGTCGAGGGCACAACTTTGCCAATCGCACAACATGCTTTAGGTGTGATCATAAACCTACTGACAGGAAAGTTGTAGGGGGTGATTGGCTCTGTTCTTGTGGATTTTACAATTATTCCATGCGAACCGTCTGCTACAAATGTAATGCTGAAAAACCTGAACAAGCAGAGTCTGCTGATGATCAGATCCAGCATGGAGAGAATGAATCTGGGGAGAACAGTGAATCAGGTGAGAAGGGCGAAACGGATGAGAAGAGCGAAACGGATGAGAAGAGAGACTGACAAAAAGAAGGATAAGAGCGATCAGACTTGGGAAAACTAAAAAATGTAAGAAATAGATAATGGTTATTTACGAACCAAATTTAGAAACAGGAACTCGCTTGTAGGTGGGCGCTTGTACATCTTTGATCATTAATGGTTGGATTTACGCGAAATTTGTGAATACAAAAGGTTGCGATCTAATTATCATAAACGACATTCTTCTTCCATATCAATTGATATATAATACGCTAAGCGAAGAACCAATCAAATAATTGAGTTGCAATGTATTGTGTTCGTTTATATAATCATTAGCAATCACTCGACAAACTTAATTATCAGCAACTACGTAAATACCGCCCTCGATAGAGGCGTCTACTTTCTTGTCTATTTGACGTTGACGTTGAATTTGCGTAATTCCCCTTCCAATTATACACACTTTTGCGTATGCTCTTCGATATCGATTGCTTCCCATGGATATACAATCCATCTATCTGCGGTCTCATCTGCGGCCCAATACCTTCCTGCCCTGACAATACTCTCGTCTGGCAATTGCATTTTCTTCTCTTTCTTCTTGTTATGCAATACGAATATGCCGAGCTTAGTCTCAGGTACTTTCTTACCCGGATGTTCTTTTATAAACTTTTTCTCTTGTTCTGCGATGTCTTTACGCAGCTCCTGCACAGCATACGAGAGGGTTGTACGGGTATCATCAACCTCGTCTACGATTAAAATGCTCTTACCAACAAGTGTTGTAGCGACTGGAGGACCGAATGATAGCCATTGGGTTTTTATCACTTGATTGGTAGCTTTAGCTAGTGCCACAGCAGATTCATCGGATATATCGTGTATATCTTCGTATAAAGAGAGTCCTATCGCTTGGATGAGAATATTCTTGTTACCTTGGCGTTTGATAAATGTGCGCTGGATTAAAATGAGCATAAAAGCGTAAATGTGATGTTCAGAATACTCTCAAGTGATATCGAAACTTAATGAATATCTTGTAAGCGCAAGCTTGGGTCCTACACTGTTGTCCGGATAACCGGACAATATCAAACCAAGCAAACTCTCTAAATGTCTATTTTCTACTCTATATCATCCGATATGAGCACGTTCTCACGTACCAAGATTCTTGCAGGTATAAAACCGCCTCCTCCAATAGCTATTATTAAATCGGGTTGAAATTCTTGACCTATTCGATATTTCGCAACTGCTTTCTTTATTATTTCATGTACTTGGTTATACGAGACATATATTTTTGTATCGCCTGACATTTTGAAAATCTATGAACAAAAAGATGATGAGAATGAAAGAAAACCTTTTCGTTAGAAAAATTGATCCGCATATCCTTGTGGCACAAATAAGTGCGTGCGGTGGACATGTCCATGAAAACATCCGATCGAATGAATGCGTCCGATAAAAGGGCTATATCCTTTTTCGGTGTCTACGTCCGCAGACTTATTTTTAGTGCGCAGTGGTGATAACAGCTCCGTAGCAGTGTTCCAAAGATAAGAGTTTTTGCAAGACATCTAATTAATATGTGTATGGTATTAGTATAATAATAGCCTCAATAAATCACATGCCTCAATCACCCAATTTTAATTTGACATGAAGAATGGGCAGCAAGGAAAATTATCAAACAATCAAAGACGACTATCAGTTTTGCCAACGGAACGTTTGTCGGGCCGATCAAAGCGAGATTGTCGACAATTTATCGATAATCTTATTTAAATAACGATTCTCATTTGAAGGCTCTAACTACATTCGGATAATGCTATTCACTTTTCCGCCGCAGGCTGAATAGGATGTTAGGTGAATATTGTCGACGAACGTCATGTAATTCTCCCGTAATATTAAAGCTACTAATTAAGTTATGCCGACGGATCAATAACGGTTTTGAATATTTCATATTCATGTTGAAGGGTTAATATTTTATGTAATCGCATATATTATTCCACACCGACATCTTATTATTGATATATTAAATCTCAAATTACCCACATGTTTAGCTCCCAATGATAATGATGGTCAATAAAATGAGAACAGGGTTTCGACTCTAATTATAATGGCCAAGCATCAACGTGACCCAGCTATATTTAAACTGCAAATAAGATAACTAGTTTATTCTGTAGCAGGTTTCTAGAGGTCTATAGTTAACTTTCTAATATTTAATAATATGCTTAGCTTTGTGCGTTCAATCGTAGGTGTAACTAATAAAAGGACGCAAAACTCCAAGGATCATATGGATGTAAGCTTTCTTTGGAGGTCTATTTACATTCACGATCATCGTTTACGTTATGTGACTTGGAATACCAATATGTTAACTTTTGTCTGCCCTTGATCCGAGTCAAATGCTGTTGTTTTCGACAAATCGACTTTTATTTCAGAAGTTGCCTCTTTCTTATTGATTGAGCCTTTTCATAATGTACAGTAAAGTGATACTTTGATTTGCAATCAAACTTGGTTTAAGTTTGAAGGATGCGGAGTGTTGTGTTGCTCTAATATTATTAGGTGCTAATTATTCGCAGTAATATTTATGTCAAATAAATACTGTCAAAGCTATTATTTATGGCTCATTCGCTAGGAGCGGCCAAAACGGATATAAGGGATTTTTTAAAGAGACTCGTTAAAGTTAATCGCCTTTATAATTAATAATTAGGTATTACTGCTAGTTGATATTCTAGTAAGAGTTTTTGACGCTAAGCAGGACAAGCTAGCATACTGAAGTTAGAATAACATCTTGCTGTAAACGTCGAAAGGATCGAACCAGACAGGAAAGATAACTCAATTATCGTTGCAATATTTCATTTGTTTTAATAGTTAACCAAACGTACGAGTGCGAGTTTATACCTTAGCAATAGGGGGAATAGAGCTTGCCTTCAAAACTTAACTCACGCGGGCGTGTAAGCAAGAAGTACAAGAGCTATTTCATTTATTAACAATTTTTTTGGTTCTATTCTGTTTTTGTTGTTTTGTTTTGTTTTTTTGTATTCATTCGTTTAAATGACCTATTATTGATTATCTCACATTTTTATCGTGCTAATCAACCCTGGATTTTACTAGAGGTCATTCCAAACTGCTGAATCATGTTCGCTCTGAATCAGTCTGGTCGTTGGTTGACTGAATCCAGAATTTAATTCAAATCCTACATTTCACATTATCAACATAGCCGTCAGTGGCTAGGCTTCCTACGCAGTCTTTCGAATTTTGACTTCTTCGATCACACGCTCAATAATGACAGCGTCTGTCTCAGCGTCGTTCTTGGATGAATGAATAGCATCGATGGTCTCTTCTTGGAGAACCTTGAGGGAGTCTGGATCCGGGCCGCGATCGGCTTTCACCTAGAACAAAGAGTTGACAGTAATAGCTTTTAGAAGATGAGCTTATGAACGATAAATTTTACGATAACTTTTTCAAGCTGACGTTGTAAACACTTACTGCGGCTTCGCTGTCAGACGCAAGTTCCTCCTTCCATCCTGGAGCATTTTTGATGAGATTTCTCGCTAAAAAAAAAGTTCCTCTTCAATAATTATGAACATTCCCATTCTCCTTGATGTTATTGTCTTGCCACTTTCTCAAATGTAGTTCTGCTCATTATTTGTTGCGCTCTCGCGATCTCCGAGATGAATTTATGAAAATTCGCTTTTACCTTTGAGCACTTTCTCCTTTCCTTTCTCCAGTGTTTCTGGATCGTTGCCAGTCGTATGGCTTTATTTACATATAATCAGTACGTAGCAGATATTTTCTGTCTGGTATACTATCGTCACTTATCACGTACCTCCCGAATGGCGTGTAATATCTGATTTGCTGTGAAGAACTTCTCGATACGAAACGAATCAAGCGAAGTGCATGCATCTCGAGTGTCAAAGGTTTACGATATCGCAAACACTCGTTTCTGAGCATTTATAGAGCGTGCGGCGTCTATTGATGTGATGAATTGAACTAGACCGCATTTGGCGATCGCTAAAATAGTGCGCCATTACTCTTGCGTCTGAATTACAACAGCTCGAACCGCGATCTAACCATTTGTGTAACGTCCCAATCCACCTTGTGAAGAAAGAACAGGAATCTTGTATGTAATTAACTTAGACCATTAAATATAATATTCTGTGGGTGATTAAAAAGAGTTAGTGGATGTAATAAAAGAAGTAGTTTCGGCATTCCCACGGAAATTTTCGTTAGTTCTAAATATTCTATTTAGCCTTCCCTAGCAAATATTTTATAACCAAATGATGTGTCTAATGCTAACTAACGGTTTTTAATGAAAGCCTGCTGTTCGGCATGCCCAAAATTGCAATTTGAATGTCGGTATGTTGGTTGCTCTCAAACGTTTAGGACATATAGACGAAACGTGAACGAATGATATGCAGACTTTTTAGCCGCACACATTCAGTTCAAATGATTGGCAAAGCTAATCAACAAACAAGGGGTATTCCTTGTAAAGCTGGATTCCCCACCACCAATAGTCGATGCAGATAACTATGCAAGCCAACCTGGAAGAATAGTTTGAATACAAGAGTTTTTCGATAAGGGACCGATAGGAAGCGGTCATAGATAGTGATGGACAATTGTAGATAATTAACCTCAATAAATACCGGTTTAAGGAATGAAACCTGTGCAATGATAGACGATCAATCAACATTTCTTAATGTCACGAACATCTCTACCTGCTTTGGGACCTATAATGTTCAAATGTATAATGAAGACTTGGCGTTAGTGTGTGCTAAGACCCTAATACTAACTACCAATGGCTAGTCGATAGGCGCAATATTAGAACAACAATTACGTATTCTCTTGATGATAGCATGTGAAACGAACGATAACCAATCAATTATGAGGTACACAATTCGTACAGATAATATTGTCGAAGAAGCTCCATCCTTTATTTATACAGTTCAATGACTAAATGAAGAACACAACTCCAGTCTTTTTTTTTTTTACAATAAAAAAATAGAAATAGAAATTTTCATTTCCAAATTTGTGACATAACGGGATAATGGAATTATTGGGATGTAAATCTCGATACTTTTGCGGTTCCTTGTCTTGTCTTGGCATCGGTATTAGTATTGCAGGAACCCTCCGATCATAAATATTATGATGTTATTAAATAACAATGTTCATTAGATGAGAGACCCCTCACTCATTTGGCTCCATGGCATAGCACTGTTGGAGAGTACGTCGAATGGATTATCTTCCGCCTGAATAAGAGACATCGGGAGGGCATCGGCGTGTGGTGTAATGAGACCGGTAACCATCACCATAAGAAGGACGACGTAGAAGACAAGAGTACTGAGATTGGTGGCAATCATTGCGTGATTGATAGTGAATAAGAATGAACGTGATGATGTAGTTGGAGTGTTATTAACAGTCAAATGTTATTGGGAATCCAGTCCTCGATTTGCCGTTGCAGAGAGCGTGAGTACTTGTAGTCGCCTGGACTTTTTTTAGTTGTCAACAACTATCCGAAATACGGCAGTTAAGAGAACAACTGGGGAAGGCCTTTTGGACGTTTATATATTTGAGTGTGTGTGGCTAATGAATCGAATATTAGTGGTCTGTCAAGACATCCTATATCCAGAGCCATTTTTAATTCTGATTTCCAAAATTAGTCAGTCATTACACAGAAACGTAATAATGCCCGCAAACAAAAATACAACTTATCAACTCGGCTTTATTCGGGGTGAAACTGATAGGAACCAATTATCTGGGATTTGCAAATCTTTTTTTGTCCTAGCCAATGACCTCGATGCACGAACAACCGAATAGGAATTCTCGAATTAGATCGTCAAACCCAGCTCACAATAAGACCCCCCCAATTGCGTCGTCTTTATTATAGTCTCCTTGTTAGCGAAAGGACAAAGCGAACGATAGACCATACAAAGGAATAGAGGTGTTCCGTAACGATAATTGTTCCTTTTCCTTGTGAAAAACAAAACCGGAGAAACTACATTAAAACATATTGTTCATCGCAAATGTCCTATCAAGGTAGATAAATAGTAAACAAATGGAAAAACGTTGATGCTCGATAGTAATAGTAATAGCTTAGTAGTTTAAGCATACAGGTTGCACAAAAATTGAAACCCTTTTAAGTTATTATGTGTGTTACACCATATGACGTGAGACTAATTATATTAGCACAATAGGAAGTAACAACAACAATCAATCTACTTTTTCTTGTTTCATCTTGTACAATCAAACATGTTTCAAACTAAATCCAGTATTATCTAAAAGCTATAGGAAAACTGCCATAAACAACCAATCATGCAATATGGTGTGATCCGTAGTTATAATGGATAGTGATAGTGATAGCGTTTAATAATCATTAACCTTTTCACGTGTCCAGCATTGCTAATAGCAATGACACAATTTCACGTAAACGTTTTAATAATATAAATATTCTGAAATTTTACCCAAGCCAAAATAAAAGCATTGCAGTAATCTCATGGCTTAATCTACGCTAATAATAATACATTACATTCACTTTATACAACTCTCATCAATGTTGAAGTGATTGAATTCAAAAATAGGTCAGAACTTTGAAAAGAGTTTGTGTTGCCAACTTGTATTAATGAACATCGCTACTATTACTATGCAATATTCCTTTCAAGTTTAACATTCTTCGTAGCATTCGGATATAGAACATATTTGCAACAAATCAGACAAGTTGAACATAAATGGCATACTGTATTTCCAGGTTCAGGATTCATTCTACTCTGCAGAATTATGTCTACCAAGACTAATTTAAGATAAAAATAAGAGTGTTAATTAACTGCTTTTCCTTCGCAAGTAACTTGGGATTCACGAGTTTTCTGGTTGTATAATCATCTTGTGTCAGTTGTGACATTTTAGACTTCATCGTCTTAATTAGAGAAGGAAATTGTTGCTGCAAAACAAAACAAATATTAAGGAATGGTTTTAACACAACAACTATTCTATAGAGGCGTCTGTTTAGTTTGTCGGGTTTAGTTATGAAAGATATGAATTATAAATAGTAGTGTAACGACGTTTAAATGTGCCCTGTCCACAAATGTGTTATGAAAGATATGAATTATAAATAGTAGTGTAACGACGTTTAAATTTGCCTTGACAACTCGCACCTCGATAACACAAAATTACTCTTGTGACAGTTAAGCTAAATTCCATCGCCGAAGCATGTGCTGTGGTATCAAATAAAATACTACGATCAGTAGTGAAATCAAGTAAATTTATCTCCACCAACTGATTCGCTAGAATTCCGTGTACCGTGTATGATAACTAAATTGGTGACTATTAGTCGTCGTAGTTTTCCTCGTTGCTGATCATTGCTTAGAAGTCGGCTAAAACAAGCCAGCTTATGGCAATTAGAGTAACATCTAGCTGTAGATTAAGCGGATGCTTGTATTAGACCAGACAGGAAAGAATAATTCAATTATCGGTGCAACTTATACTATAAAGAGTCGCCTTTGAGAAATATCTATGCTTTAAAGGACGCGGGCGTGTAAGCAAGACCGCGTTTAGAGTCAAGTTTTGAGAATATACCCGGACGCAAACTCCTCTCCCAGGTGACCGAACTTAACGAACCTTTGGTATGTATTCAAACATTTTGCAGACCATATTACTATTGTTCCTCCAATGAGATGAACCATGTTGTTATAGGAATATTAGTATTAGTGACGATAAGACTGAAGTCGTAAAATCGGAGAATTTACGCTCAAATTTGTTATTACCATTGGAAATGGTCATATCGATTAGGCAAACTCGGGTGTATTAAGATTACCTATTGTTCACCTGATTTGCACTTATACTCATGTAAATCACATAGTTCAACCATATAAGCAATAATTTATCCTCTTTTATTTTCATGTAATGCTTTAACGAGATTCAATGCCCAAGGTTAGCAACAAAGTTTGTATATCGAATAATTCGATGTTAACGTACCATTATTACCAATGGGTCAATTAGCAGAATTAGGGTCATATTAATATTAATATGCTTGCTTATGTCTGATGAATTATCTCGAGTATCCAGAACGGAAAAGGTTAATAGAACATACTCTTTCGGACGTGTCTACCTTTATTACCGACAAGTTATTGTCGTTCGCGTCACATTAACAAGTAGACCTTAGTGATTAATTTCATGACATTTATTAATTATGCATTTATGATACAATGATATCAGCACAATTACACTTTTATAAGTCACTATATTACAAATTTATTACAGCAACTGGAACGACAAACAATGCTAGCAAGAGAAACTCTCAAAAAATCAACTTTTTATACATCCCACCAACGGCTAAAAATGCCTAATATCCATACATTTGTCATGAAGACAACAACACTTCATGATAACCATCTAATGTCTATTTACAAATGATCCTTCTGAGTGATTACACCAACTTGGTTTTGCCATAGATTGGCTGGTCTATGAGACTTGTTCTTCGCATAATACAGACCACATGCTAGAATAAGAAAATAAACAATGAGAATCGAAATAAGTGAACGTGTAAGCAGACATTGAGATGTAGCCGTATGAAATCGGGTTGATTGATTAGCTAAATTAACTAAACCATCAATCACCAGCTAGCGGTTACTCGACATAACTATCAGCCATTCACCATCACCCCGATAACCTACCATTACATAACTTCTGCTCTGGAGTCTCACCGGCTCTCCACCCAGGAGTAACAGAAGTCAGGCAATTCGCACACTTCCATCCTAAATATATTAGGCAAGAACAATCAGCCATATATGAACAATTACAAAATCGCCCAATTTTCCTCTATCTCTACTGACCAGCAGTATTTTGTCGACTATTCCTCATCTTAGGTACCGGTTGACTGTTCAGATCCACTCCCAACATGTGAATATCTATTTTCTCCGTGCTCCACCTTTCCAGGTCAGATATCATCTTTCTAAAACCGGGAGCATTCCTTATATTCTCAAGTTCTTTCATCACATCCACTTGTCCAAGTTCATTATTTGATACGATAGCTGACATCTTTTCGTCTTCTGGAGATATATCCATTTTACATAAAGCCGCTACTTTCTTATCTATGCTCATAGCACCACGTGACAGATTGTCAAGAGTATTCTCTACATATTCCTCAATTTCCGGTCCGATACCTTGGACAAAGGTGCGTAAACTCCTTGCGTATGCATAGCCTCTTTCATCTCCGTAGAGATTGTACATGTGTGACATTCCCTGTGTCGAGATTTGAGGAGGATCTATCCCGAGTGTAGCATATGGACCATAGTCTAGGAATGTGGCTGATACAGGAAGATAAGCGGTGTCAGAACGTAATGTTTCAATGAGCATATGTTTTACTTCCAATCCATCCAGATGATCAATTGGTATAGGGATGTTTACAGTTGACTAAATATAGTGGGACAGATAAAATTTACCTTCGCGCTCAATGCGTTCGCCTATTAACCTAGAGGATGATATAACCGTAAGCAGAGGTGTCTGTCCAAATGATTCTGGTTTCTCCATCCTCTTTAGATAGAAAGCTAAAAAGGAGAATAAGAAAAACGTGTTAATTGTGGGTTATAAAGCAAGAATAACGGTTCACTATTACATAAACTTTGAATGTACACTCTGCTCTAATCTACCTAATTCAGTATTCATATAATGCTGCACTTATTTTATACCGAGCAGTTTGGCTTGGTGACATTATTTGTAGGAATTAGTTCACTAAGTTTGTGCATAGATAATACATACATATATCAAGCGAACCATCCGAACAGTACATATGGCCACGTCCACCATCATTGCGCTTCGATTTCTTTGACTGTTTGGTGCCCTTCGATGTAGATGAGCCTAAAAATGCATTAGGCTTTAGCAAATTTCCAATATTACCCACCACCAGTTGATACAACACAAGCTAAATGGCAAGATACCTGCAAAGCCGAATGACTATAGAGAGATTATAACACTCAGTACTTATTATCAAATCAACAGTTTTATTCATAAGAATAAACTACTGCACGAACCTTATTTCCTCTTATACCACCTTCGGCCACTGATTCAATGTCAATATCCTCTTCCATTTGTTTAGCCTTTGCCTTCTCCTCTTCCAATATTAACGCATTCTTTTCTCTTTCAATTGCCTTTTCACCATATTGCCATATCTTATCTGCACATTTATAGTAAATTGTCTCTGGAGCATTATATGTTTTGGCATTGTTACAGACCAAGGCAAATTCAGCCTATTGTCGATTGAAACATAATTATTGTTACTAAATGGTAGAATACAAGAGCGTTTAGCATACTAACAAGTAGTTGACCTTGAAGTGATCCATTGTTTGATATTCCTTTTTTGCAACTTTCCGTCTCATTGTACCAAAGTCCATCGGCTGCTTTATGATCGTCAAGTAGTCGGTGACCATTTCCGTATTGACTGGTTCAAGGAAGAAACCGTATGCATCTTTCCTATTATTATATTGTAATGATAATAGATTGTTAAATAGGTTACTCATATGAATAAATCAATGAAAATATATAACTTGGTTTAAAAAAAAAGAGATTTCATAACTCACTTGACAAATGCATCCAATAATTTATTCATGACACTCACAAGATCCTTACGCTTCTTCTGGTTGGACCGTAATTTATTAGAAACGCGTTCTTTACGAATTTCTTGCACTTTACTAGAAACACGCTCTTTGCGAATTGCTTGCTCGATGTTCGTTTTCCCTGGACGTCTATTGGCTTTATTGGTTGTAATCAATTAATAGTGGAAAAAAGTAGCCTTAATCCGACTTAGCATGGTAATATCCTAATAATTACCTGGGGGGGCATCTTTTTTAGTCTTGTCATTATTTTTATATTTATTGGAAGAGGAAGTGTCAGACTCAACAGCGTTAGATCTCTTTGTATCAACCTTTGTTGTTGGTGCTTTTATTACATTTGCGGGTGTCTTGGTGATTGAAGGTGGTGGAGGAGGTGGTGGAGGGGGCGTCGGTGGAGGCAGTGTTGCTGGAGGAGGTACTAGTGTCGGCGGCGTTGCTGTTGTTATTCTTTTTGTTGCTGCTGCTGTTGTTGTTGTTGCCGTCGTATTCGAAGACTTTAGTCTTATTTTCAGCTTGGGAGGCTTGTGAATTTCTGGTAGCTGGGCTCCATTGTTAACTGTCCTTCGACGCCGCTTAGTTTGTCTATGATCCTTTGCCGCGGTAGATGTCTCGTTATAATGTTTCGTTGACGGTATTCTGACATTCTTCTGGTTATCAGTATCGTCACTTTTCTTTAATTTGAGTGATATCTTTATCCTATGTGAAGATTTCTGTTCTATTCGAGGATAAATAATATAATATTTTTAATACTGGTTATGACGATGACATATGAGCGTAAGCGAGAAGTTAAGTTGTGTATAATGAAGGGAAACAAAAGGCCTTCTCAGTTAAATAAAGGAGTGTGTCAAAGTGTTGGATCCATTACCTTCGGAAGTAGAAGGTCGCTTTTTAGTTTGGTATTTTTTGTCTTTCTTATTCTCACCCATATTTTTTTGTTGATGACGATGTGCGGCTCGGATGGTGAACTTCCAATCCTTGATTCAATGTGATCACAACATCGAATGATCAAATACATTGAATCGGCGCAGTATTCAGATGACGAAGAAACTCGTGACTCTATTAATAGCATGGCCGGGTTTATCAAAATATCGGGGAATTGGCTGTATCAATTTAGTCAAACTGGGACGTATGCAAGCAGAAATGTTCCAATTCAATAATAGCCTCGAATTGCCTCTCAGAACTATCACGTCCAACACAAACTAGTTCTCACGCTAAGATAATATTGCATTGTTTATTAATTAGAGCAGTCATGTGCCTTCGTGCGTAAGAAAGTCGAAAGACTTGTTACCATAATAAACTTGAAATTTACATTTTTCTTTAAAAGGAATTAAGTAATTATCATCAAGAATAACGAAGTACTTTATGAGCTGAACGTCGACGAGGACCAGTCTACCAAGTCCGGACTAATCGAGCTGTATCGGCTACAGCGCACAAGATCATGAGTTCACGTGTTCCACTACACAAATTACAATTGGCTATTTTGGTTAATATCAAGGCAATATTAATATTAATATGAATTTTAAATACCCAAATTAAAATACTATAAAAGATGCTAATCAGAATCTTCGGACTGAATGAAATGTATAGTAATAACGGAACAGGCTTTTATGAAATTATTAGTATTAGTATTGGTTTTTTCAAAAAGGGAAAATTTAAAACATAAATGGAATGATATAGCGCTTATTTTTAAATATAAATAACAATGATGACAAATGGGGGACCAACAAAACGAGACAAAGTGAATATTTGATTACCTGAACTCAAACTGATGAAGTTTTACTTTGGTGGCACTGCTTTGGTGGCACAGCTGTAGCTCAGACATAAATTTATAGACACAGACATGTTACTAAAAATTATAATGTGCTTAATATAGGACATCTTTATATAAAAGATTATAGCAACCATTAGAAGTATCATAAACCCTTATGAATAAGGGTTCCCTTCATCATATGGGTCATGCTGCAACAAAACCAGACAAAGTGAACATTCTATTATGTGACATAAAGTGGTTAAAGTTAAATAATTTAAATTTGACTAATAACATTTTGATTATCACAGCAATAACTTGTAGATGCATTTTTATGCCAAAATGTAATTAGCAAATTCTATATAAAAATTATAGTATGCTTTCATATAGGCGTATCTCTATATAAAAATATAAATATGAAATTAATTTACATCAAACCCACCATAGAAACAAAGAATTATATCACCATTGAAGCATTATAAAAAAGGCTCAAGGAGAAAAAATTGCCCCTTATGTTTTTAAAACCATAATACCAAAATTCTTGAGATAAAATTATATATTAATATAGGATTCCCCGTATATAAAAAAGTCCAATTATAACGGTTCACTAAATATGACACAATACTTTCTTAGAGACAGGTTGCAATTGTGGTTGTTCGAAAAGATTCCGAGAGAAAGGTTTGCCGAGGCGTTTCAAGCTCTCTCTAAATCCGAACAAGATATATTTTTAATGGCCCAGCTGAAAGCAATGAATGGTGGAGAAATGACCGCCAGTCGACGTCTTAAAAAGAAAACGCGTACTAAGAGAACTTTTTATTATTGAGATCGCAATACGCCACTTTGTCAAAAAAAGTATCTCAATATGTTGGGAGTTGGTCGCACTCACTTTCGAAAATGTTAGAGATTACCTGACAACGAATGGTACGATACCGCGCGTTCATGGCAATGTAAAACAAGTACCGCAACGGAAAACAATAACCATTGATATAACCGTGAAGAATTTTCTCGAAAACTAGCTGAAATTCATGGATTACCAAGTCCTGGTAGAAACGTCAATCGCATTACCCAATCGCTTATATTTTTACCAGCAGAAACAAGCTATAAATCGGTCCATCGAGACTTTCTTGCAGGTCTTGAAAACGATAGCATGTTGAAATTATTAAAATATAATACATTTCGCAAGTTATGCCACCAACTAACAAATAATGAGCCCAAGAACGGATTTATGCGATACATGTCAACGATTTCGAAACGGCTTACAATATAATGCTCGCAAAGAAGAAGAAGCAAGAGACTTGCTGAAAAAATACAAAGAACATCTGGTTATAACAAAATTAGAAAGAAACTATTACCACAAAATACGAAATTAGCAGAGCAACAAAGAAAATTAGTAGGTGAGCATTTTATAACAAGAGGTAAAGCTGCTTATTGTAGCATTGATGCTACTGCTCATTACAGTTACGATTGAGCACAAAATGTTCACGTGCTACATTCCGACCACAGGTATATTATCTCAGTTCACGTAAAGTGCATTTATTTGGTATTCAAGATAAAGCGGTACGCGAACAAATTATTATGTTCTCGATGAAGACAAAATTATCGGCAAAGGCACTGAGCATGGTTTTTGATGGGATTAAGAAATTTAATAAAGGTGAAAAGCATTTAAGTGACAACGCGGGTGGTCAGAATAAAAATAACGCTACCATTTGATTTTACCTATATTTAGTAATTTGCGGTTATTATGATCGAATTAAATTTTATGGTACCGGACATACTAAATTCAAGTGTGATGGTAGTTTTGGATTGATTAAGAAACTATATCGCAAAACAACGGTATATTGTGGTGGACCATATTAATATTGTTGAAGTTGTGAAAAAATTGGGTTAAACAAGGCTCAGCGTTATGACAACGGAAAAGGTTTGGATTTCAATTTAGTGTTAGTTTTTATAAACCCGCCCACCCACCTCTGAGGGAGCCTATTTTTTTTATAGGAGAACAGTCTCCCATCACTCTTCCAGCATATTTTTTTCCCACCCCAACATAAAAGTCGTCATCTTTATCATAATGACGATGAAACGTAAACGAGTCATTCTTTCTTAAGGCACATAATAAATAATGTCATCATAAAGACTGTAGTGATTAGAGTTTGTATACACTCTTTCGTCATATGGTTATCATGATAGACTAAATCTGTCAAATAACAAATAATAGCCATTTAAACCAAGAAAATTATGTCTATGCTTCAATTAGTGATGGAGGCCGACAAAAATTTATTGGCCAGCCTGGCTGATACAAAATTTTTGGCTCAGTCGGCCTTCAGTCGGTCATTCCAATTTTAGTAAATTTACTTCCAGTAACATATGTGCATATATATTTTATTAATTCATATCAACTCTTCGTTGAAATAGTATCTAAAAACAATTATCACGCCAATTCCTTAGCGCTATATAACTGAAATAATATCATCTAAACAAGCGTAATAAGAAAACACATCAAATGCATGTCAATATCTTAATACACATAATCTCCGTTAACTAATAGAATGTTATTCCTATCTGCAAATTCACCCAACAACAATCCTTGTTGAGAACTAACATCTATATAATAACGATTACTACGCACTTAAGTCTGAATACACATCAAAGAGTTTTGAATTATGTTTTAAGAAAAGAATATCATGAACATAAGTCGGACTTAACCTGTTGCGTTTTTCGGTAATTATATTTCCGGCATCCGAAAATAATCTCTCAGAAGGAACCGACGAAGCAGGTATCGCAAGATACTTGCAAGCTTGTTTGGCATGGTTGGGTAGCGTCCTACTGTGCAACTTCCACCAACTAAGTGGATTTTCCGTTTTATACAACGGATCGTTGAGGGGGTGGGTTGGGATTGGTAACATTGTGGAATATAATTGTATCTCGTTTTGTATGGAGGAAACGTCATCTTCATCTATATCATCGAAGAAACTGTTCCGATTTGAATTCATTTGCACCGTGAGTGTCGCACTTGCTGAGTCATCTGTTTCCATAATTCGTTGTACTTCCGTCATAACGCCTGCCTGTTCCTCAACACTTAAGAATTTCAGTTTTTTGAAGCGAGGGTCGAAGTATGAGGCAAAAGACCCCATCGACAAAGTATTCTGCCAGCGTATCTCTATCTGCTCATCAATACGGTCTCTCACTCTTGCCACAATTGCAGGTAAGTCATGTCGAGATGTAAATTGAGCAAGATGGTTTCGGATTTTGTTTATGGCTGGGTACATCATAGATAGTGTCGGATAATGGCTTCTGCCAATAATGTCTGTGACCTGGACAAATGGCTTCAACAATTCTAATAAACTGCTTAACACTAGCCATTCGTTGTCACTTAATAAGAGGTTTTCCAGATATCATTTCGAACTGAATATTCAGTATCGTTCTTGAGGACAGCAGCCAGGGAATGCACAGCGTTACGGAGTGTAAGAAGGCGCTGCAGCACAAGGTAAGTTGAGTTCCATCTAGTTTTGACGTCAGTGATAGGTTCGAGAATTTTTGTTTGTAGATTATCATCGATCATTAACTGTTGCACACGCCGCAGTGTTTCACGGTATTTATCACGATTCACAAGGGCATTATTTAATGCCGTAGCCTTTGTGTGAGTTCACGACATTCTTTGAGTCCTTCATTTATTGCAAGTTGTAGCGTATGTGCACAGCAGGTTATGTGTTGCATGTTTAGTTGTCGTAGTGCAACCGTCATGTTGGCAGCGTTATCACTTATTCCCGCAATGACTTTATCACTTATACACCACTTCTCAAATAACATACGAAGGAACTCGGCGATTCTGGCAGCTGAATGTCCATAGGGAAATTCTTCGATAGTTAAGAGTCCTTGCTTCAGCTCGAAGTCAGGAGTAATCCAGTGAATTGTCACACCAATATATGGTGTGTGAAATTGTGTCCAGAGGTCTGTTGTAAAACTACATGTTTTCATTGAATTTTTGATTTCGTTTTGCAGACGTTCTTCAGTAAACACAACACATTCATGTAGTTTCTTCTTTATGGTACTAATACAGGGCACCGGATATCGCCTATTCAAGGATTCACATAAACTTATGAATGTTGGTGTGTTGACAATGTTAAGCGGCTGTAAATCTTCAACTATCCACTGCAGCAATCTGGTTGTAATATGATGATACTGAATATCAGTTGGTTTGTATTGTTTTGCTGTGTTGATGCAATCTTCTATCGTCTGTTGGTTTTTATTTAAGGCTACATTTTTCATAGTTTCTGCAGAATCATAGACTGTCATTATTCTGTGTACTTTTGCTTAGATGATTTCCAATGTTAGTCGTAGAGCAGGATGACTTGAAGCCATTTCCACATGGAATGCTTTGACCGTTTTTAACCACTAATACTTGACAGTATCTATAACCATCGATAATGTTTTTATCTACATAATCCCATACCCAGCTACTGTTATGGTCTCTGCGTTGCATATGTTTTATTGTCTGTAGCACTTGGACAGGGGGTTGGTGTTCTGAATACGAGGTAGACGGGAGACTTGTGGATGATGGAGAACTTGGTGAGTGTAGAGGTGACAAGACAGGCGGTGCTAAATATTCTTCGTTAGGAGAGATAGACGGAGAAAAAGATTCATAGGGTGGTATAGATTGTATGGATGCGCGTTCAGTTTGTTGATGTCTAGTGGTTGTAGTATTAGGAATGTTTGGGTTATATGCTATAAAACGTCTTAGTTTGCTTTTCCGTCGGCTTGACATAGTCGTATTCGTATTTAGTTAAACGTGTATGTATATGTACATGATTCCATTAAACCATAATATGCTTCATTATTTTTTTTTCCTCTCACGATTTCCCACTCCCTTCTCATACTGTATGTAGCAATATTTGCCTATTGAAGAAGGATCTTATCAGCCTGGCCGACTTGGTCATAAGCATTTTGCACACTATATATAGTATAAATTTTATTAACCTAGTCGGCCAGCCATACATACCTTATTTAGTAAAAATTTATCGGCTTAGTCGACCAGCCGAGTATACCTTATATAGTATAAAATTTATTAACCGAGTCGGCCAGCCATACATACCTTATTTAGTAAAAATTTATCGGCTTAGTCGACCAGTCGGAGTATACCTTATATAGTAAAGTTTTCATCGACCTGGGTCAGCCATAAATGTGGTATGATAAAGCTTGACAAGGTAAATAAGTTCATTTATCATACAATTGCTGTTACCATATTATTATCAAGGAGAAAGTCCATGTCAAGATCAAAACAAATAATTATTTTGTGTAACTTTATATGAAATTGCAAGTCAATCAAAAATTTTGTGAAATCAATATTATCTTTACTCAAAAACCCTTTCTCAATTAATAAAACAAAAAACATGTCTTCAACTGATACAACCTCTGCTACAACATCTTCTAGTGCTGTTTCTTCCTCCCTATCTTATTCTGCTGTTCTTCAGCAACCCCCTCTTCCCTCTACCTCACCTATCAGAATTATTCCCACAAATGTTCCATTGTAATTGGTCAATCCCGATGGCTCATTTACCATTTTCTCTTGGAAAAACACTAAATCATCTCTTACTAACAAACCATTTGTAGGTCGTGTCCCTCCTGACACATCTTCTCCTAACAGCCTCTTCATTGATCATAAAGCAAATAACATATCTGATAAAGCAATTGGATCATATTTTCGTAATGATCTTCTTGGTGTTGCCTTTTTCCCAGCTGATCGCTTTCTCCAACTCACTTTCAAAGATGCCAACACTTATGAAAAATATCTTGCCTTAGCCTCTGTCATTATCAATGACAAGTGCATTTATTTTACTCCACCCAAATCTGTCCCTAGATGTTCCATTGTTGTTCATTTGCATGGTCTACCCATAATGCCACATGATACAATTACTGATGCAATTACAACCTCTCTTTCCCCTTATTGTACTGTTAAAGAAGTTGCTCCTGTTTTGATTTCTGGCACTGATCTCTTAACTCCCAAATGGGATGTTGTTGTTGAACTCATTCCAAACAAACAAATTCCAGTACATCTTACTATTCTTGACTCATCAGTTGCTCTTACCTTTTTGAATTCTGCATCAATTTGTCTCTACTGCCATAAGCAAGATCACTTGAATGGCAATTGTCCTCTTCGTCCTCGCCCACGTCCTAACCCAAGAAAAACCTATGCTGCATTTACTAACTCTCTGAATCAATCTAATACTAACCTTAACAATGCCACTCAAACAGCTATGAATATAGATCCTCAACCTTCTACTGTAACATCAAACCTTCAATCTTCCATTCATGCTCCAAAAACTCCACAGATTTCAAATGAATCTGATGAACAAGATAATGGTCTCTCTTCTTCTTCATCATCAAATACATCTGATGTTGTTAATACCAATGCCTTCTCACAAGACAACTCTATGGAAATTGAAACTGATCAAAATGATGATACTCAAACTTATGAAGTTGTTAACAATCATTGTTCCAAACACTCTAAACGTACTAACTCTCATTCTTCTTCCTCCTCCCCATATCCTACTAATACTAATCGATCTTCCCAGAAAACTGCCCAGTGACTTAATAAGAATAATGACTAATATGATATTTACTCCCACTGTAGTCTCTATAAATA